ACACACGAATTTTGACCTCTCTTCAGTCACTTACTTAACTACGAAAGCTAACTTTTTGTTAATGTTTACGAATCATATTGTTATTTATATGGTCCATGTGTGCTGATTGTTACCTCACAAAGGTAATATTTTCGTCTTACAATTTTGCAGTTAAAGACTTACATTCATGTAAATTGCTACACGCAAGTCTGTTAAATGTAAAACTTTGTGTACACTAATACTATGATAGATATATAATATTTATGGGGCATATTATGAATATGCAAAATATCAAGCTTTGAATTGCACTGCCAGCCGCAATCGTAAAGAAATTTCAATCTGTAAAATTAAAGTCTTTGCTATGCCATGCATATATACATATATAAGTCTAGATTAGCAAATAACAACAATAAATTGTAATGTATTGTTTAGTCGTTCTATTCCAAACTCTATATACATCCACCAACAAGACTACATGAACTTACAAAAATATTTTAATTCTCTGTATCTAACTATGAAGCCACTAATGCGATGCCTTGTAATGATTTTTTTGTTAACTTAAATTTTCACTGCATGGTGGTTACATCCACACATCTATGCATATATCGTTACGTACATAAAGTTATTAACAATTACGTTTCTCTATTTGTCACACTATAAACTGCGTTGTTATGGGTATGTTGTTTAAGAAGTTAAACACATATAAGTATATGTATAACATATTTGTCTAAATTTGTGCCACATTTTTAAGTGATATGACGGACAGATACTAAAAGCAATGACAGGCATTAAGTAATAAAATACAACAAATAGTCAGTAAATCATATATAACCTTTGGGTGTTAAAGAAACAAAAAAAAAAAAAGAGAGAATATTATCATTGTTCGTCATCCACATTGGCCGTTCGATAAAAGAAAAGTCGGTAAAATGTCAAAGTATTTCGCAAACAAATGACAAGACATCATTTACCGCATATCATGCATATTACTTGGATACTAATTCAAGAAAAACTATCCAAAAATCAATTCGAATCAATTTCACACATAGACACGGTTATATTTACATTTTCTTTGCCATCAGCCGCTAAAGGATGATTTCATAGCTTCATAGATAATAGCAAACCGATATCGTATTCCTCTTGTTGTAACGAACGGTAGACATCAGAAGCCATTACACAATTTCGCTTAATACAGCTACACATACAGTTATATATATCGATATAACGGTTTTTCAAAATAAGATGTTATATGAAAAGTGGTCGAAAAATTGATCCGATCTGAATAATTTTCAACAGCACACGTCTTTGGCCCAAAAGATGTCAATATACTAAATTTCATTAAAAAATTGCAAAAACCGCGACATGTACGTTGAACAGATGACGGACAAACAGTCGGACAGACGGACAGACAAGCTTAAATCGTTTCAGAAAGTGATTTTGAAATGATTCTGAATCAATCGTTATAATAATAGGTGCGTCTATCTCAAGTCTTTCTGTGTATTACATACAACCGCACAAACTTCATATACCCTTGTGTCATATAAGTGGTGTAGAGCATAAAAAAAAGAAAGCGATGGCACTGCAGCTCTCACAAAAAACAAGATAATAAAATATTTTTTTCATAAAATTTCTTAGGTCGCATTTCGACAGGTCCATTGCAAGACGAAACACCAACAAAATTTTGAAATATAATTCAAAATCCAGTAAATCGGATAAGATTTTTTGGTTTCATCAAAAATTGTTTACAAAATCGGTTAACGTCTCTCAACCAAAAATAAATCGTCCACTAGACGATGTACTAGACGATGTCATTGTGAACTTACAGCTGAAAGCTTAAATCGAAGACGTTAGTCGCGTGACCAACTCGAAAAACATAGTTTCGAGAATAACACAATTAAAAAGTTTTAAGTATCGGTCTTTTTAAACGGTGGCGTTACGGCAACCCTGGTTTTCACCTTGTCTTTTTTTTTTAGAGGCACAGAAAGAATTCGACCTTTTGCAAAATCTTTTAAATATCAATTTTGCATATTTTGCATAAGAGAATAAGGTTAAAGTATTCAATAACATTTATACCGTCAATAGACTCCGACTCGTATTTTTATGGCACGTGGCATATGGCGATCTCATAAAAGTTTATAACACACTCGCATACAAGAAGTTTTGAGGCTTTTATAGCTAACATCGGTGAGTAAAGATTTACTATAGAATGCAAGTATGTGAGAGGAGTCTCATAATGCGTACACATACTTGATCCAACGCAGGTTTCACGTGATTCTATCTGCGTACGCGTTTATACTTTTACCCATTTATTGTTTTTGTAAATTAATTAATTGATTGAAAGCTTGGCTTGAAGTTTAGGTTGCCCTAGAAAAATGTACGCAGTTGTTTTAAAGAATTTCGGAATGATACTCGTTACTCGCTCCCACCCAATTCGCCCCTATATCCTTTTTTGATGCAGAGGATATTGAGCCCATGCGAACACACGAAACACCCAGATGGGATTCTACTATATTCAGAATCAGAATTTTCTGAATCGATTCAAGTTTGTCTGTCTGCCTGTCTGTGTCTTCATGTTCAACTTAAATGTCATAAATTTTGAGATATTTTGATGAAATTAGGTACTTTGGCTCAAGCGCGAATACTATTGAAAATGTTTTGCAACGGACCACTTCGTCGACCACTCTCCAAATATATACATATCTTGAAAAGTCGTTATATGAAGCGGGTTTGCGTCCCGCTATAGGGCCTTCACTTGATTAAAGTTCAAATCCAATTGGTATTAAATTCAACATCAAATAATAAACAAGCTGATATGGAGTTTGCATAAAGTTTATGCAATTCTTTCTTAAATCCATAAGAGGCAGCAGTTAACAGCTGAAAATTGGCAAAGCTTATCGCTTTCGTTGCAACTTTGTATTTTTACATTTGGTATTAGAGCGATCTGTCGTCCAAGTACGATTATTAATCATTTTTTGATATTACTGTGACGCCACGACATCAATTGGAACACTAGGTGGTGCGTAAAATAAATTTAAATCGATTTATGTAATAACTTGTAAATTTATTTGTATTCATCTTGTTAATTACAAAAGTCTGCTTAGTGTTCACTTATCGTGTCTCGCGAGTTTAAAATGCATACAAAAAAAAGCCGTTAAATGACTTTTACATACGCATCATTTGCGTATGTAAGTGTATTGATACTTACGTTTGTTTTGCTCTTCTATTTGTATTTATGTACTCAAATTGACGTCTTTTAAACAGATGCAAGTGGCTGCTTGCCTGTTCGCTGCGCGAATCAGTCAAGACAAGGTCGTTCGTTTCTATATGCGTGTGCGCACACACATACACACATACACACATACGACACGCAAAGACATACTTCCACATAGTCGATTTATTTATATAGTTTTCATTAGCGTGTAGTATGCATGGCAAAGCATACTCCACGTTGTTTCAGTTCGGTTCAATCACAAATATTTCGATTCAAACACTCATTTTAGCTTAAGCAAGTGTTAGCAGTTGAAACATAATGGTACACGTTTCGACTCGGCAAATCACATGAAGTGTTTCAGGACTTTTTCGGCTATAAGGCGAAATAAGTTCCTGAGCAAAATGAAATCTTTTTTTTTTTTTCTTTTTTAAATGATCTATCACTTAAGGGATGTCTTCTACTCGTGTAACACGATTACGGCCAGAAAACAGAAGAAGTGAGGAAAGGGAAAGGTATAGCAAGGTGGCCGTAGCCTAGCAGGTCTATCTCGGTAAGCGTTATGACTTTACTAACTGGACGCTCACTGTAGCTGCAACTGCACCGCACTGGGATTTGAATCCACGAATACTGGCTTATTTATCGCGGTTCTTACCTACTCGGCTGCTCTTTACGAAAGGGAAGGGGTTGAGAATCTTGCCGTTCTAATATGATAAAAACGGAACCAAGTTTGATGATTTGTTCCGAACCCTCTACCCGACGCACGTTTGACACGTTTCTACTTTCACGTGACAAGGTCAAACGCCTTCTTAACAAAAGCTTGCGTTGACATCTTTAAACGTTCGTTCCCTAGCAACAATCATTCGTCCCCTGTCAACAAATTCGTTAACCAATCATTCGCTGTGTCGGTAAATGGAACACTAACAAGCTCTGTCTCTACTTCTATCTTTATTTGCATTTGTGTCTTTCTTCTCACTTTTGTTTCCAACTCAGTATCTCTTCGTTATACCCTACACCATTCTCAATATGAGTGTGTATTAAGATTGGGGATGTGTACAACGTATAGAAGTACTTGAGATAGACCCACATTTTTTTATGTCGTTTATTGTGCCCATTTAAACTTGTCCATCTGCACCGACATGTTTTGCCCCAATCAAGAGACCACTTTTCCGATTACTTCTCATAGAAAGCCTTGTTTTGAAAGGATTAGAAAGAATTTGACGATAAGTAGATTCAACATATCAAAAAGTGGCTTAGTAATACCACATCCCGTCATTATAAATAGACGCGAAAGATTTAGATGAGATGAGAGCAATGTTTTAAGCTTACTTTAGACCAAGTCTGTTGACTTTTTGGGTACTCTTCAATATTAGATCTTTCGTGGAAAGTATGTCTTTGGTGTATTTTCACGAAAATGAAGGAATCATTGTATGTGAAGCTTATTAAAGGGCCGTTAGCACCCCTGCGCAGAGACTTGCTATTCAACCCACATGTAGCTACACATACATCCATTGGACCATAATTTTTTTATAAATTTTGAAGTTTTTTAATTTTATAAAATTCTCGACTTTTTAGCAAATGTTTATCTACGCATTGTAGTAGACAAAGTGCTGTAGGATATGTAAAAGTCGACCTGGCCCATTTATAATGCTTTTACCTGCTTACCTTTACATCTTAATGATTATGACTTCTTTGGGAAAAAAGCGTTTGACTGAATGACTAATAAAATACATTACCATTATTTAAATGGAACCGAACATACCCTCGCAAGCAGATACATATTTAAACTGACATCTATTATAATATTGAATTTCAGGTAAAGAAATGTTATGAGCCCAAAGTGTGTTGCGGTATCCCGTCCACTATGTTAACTGAAGATGGCTACGTTTTAAAAACCCCACCCAGTCCTTTTACTTATCCAGCTCCATCTCCATTTAAGCCAACTACTCCAGTGAATAATCAGTATCTACCTCCTGGAAGGCCTACTCCCTCTACACCCGCTGATCAATCACAACCTATTGTACCTATAACAACTTCAAGACAACCGCAACCGACCCCTGCTGATAGACAAACTCAATCTACCCGAACACAAACGCAAACCACGAGGCAGGATAGACCTACCGCTAAACCTCAAAGCAGTACAAGAGCAACGACGACTAAGCCTCTGCCTAGCATTACAAGAACGTCAATATCATCAACGAGTCCACCAAAGTATTTGCCTCCTTCGTATAGTCCTCAACAGAGAGGCAATGATATAAATGAACGCGATCGCGACATTCAGTCGACAAATCAAGATAAAGTCGTTTTACGCGGTGAAGATCAATTATCGCCTCAAATATTTCCAACAAATAAATTCGGTGATCAATTCGGTGGAGCAACTCCGGCGGTTAAATGCGCTTCCGCTTTGGTGTGCACTGCCGAGAATTATTGCAACTCAATCGGCGTTATTAGCGAAACGCCCGTAGAAATTTCATCTTTCCGTGTGCCCCTTACTGACTGCCTTATTGAAGGGACCGGAGCTGCTGGAAAATGTTGCCGGGATCCTAACTATGTCGATCCGTGGCCGGTGAATTTGGCTGGTGTATGCGCTCAAAGAAACACGGTAAGGGATATGCCAGAGAAAATATATATGTTATAAATAGATCAAATAATATGCTATATACGTTATTTAGAATACAAAGCCCAGAGGAGTTAGGGATATTGACGCAAGCTTTGCGGAGATAGGTTGGCAGGCGATGATTTTAAAGGAATCAACAAAGATGCTTTTATGCGGTGGTGCCATCATTGGTGATGCAGTTGTCTTGACCACAGCATCTTGCGTTCGCAAGTAAGTCATTAATATCTGATTGAGTGGCAATCAAGTTGCAAAACTCCAATCAATTATTAGTATATATGTAAAAATGTACACGTAAGTTCTGTTTTATTTTACCAGTGAGGCAGTAAATGACGTTCGCGTCAAGGCAGGCGAATGGGAGTTGGGAAGCACCAATGAGCCTTTACCCTTTCAATTGGTCGCGGTGAAAGCAATAGAAATCCATCCCAATTATGATGCTAATAGTGGATCCAATGATATGGCTGTGGTGCATCTATCAGAGCGTTTACAATTCGCTACACACATTCAACCTATATGCATTAGCGACAAAGATCCCAGTTCTTCTGAAACTTGCATTACAACAGGATGGGGAAAGCAAGCCTTGAGCAGTAAGAGTATTAACGTTTGCTTTAAGAAAATATTTTTTTTCTTAACCTTTTTTTTTTTTTCGTACCCAGTCCACGAAGAAGGCGCAGTCATGCATGTAACCATCACGAATCCAGTGTCACGTAGTGAATGCGGGGCGGACGAAAGCGCGGTTTGCAGCACCACCAAATTTGACTCTTGCCAATTTGATGCTGGTAGCGCTCTGGCATGCGGAACCGGTTCTAACGTTCAACTGAAAGGCATCTATGGAATTGAAAATGCTTGCGGAGAAGGACAAGCGGTACGATTCATTAAACCCGACGTAGCTTGGGTGAATAAACAATTCATGGAGAGAAGTAAACCGCTCTTGCTGCGATCTTAAGTTTAACATTAATCCTAACTATTTTTGCGCATACAATATCACATCATTCGAAAGTGGGTTAAAAAAAAAAAAGAAGAAAAAACCTGCTGAGAATTCCTTTTGCATCTATAAAATTAGAGCTGTTGGAAAATAAGGCAAACAATCCGCATCAATTCCTTTCCTGCTGCTGCAGTTTCTCCTCAAGTTCTAGTAGGTCCGCATTTGACTTCTAACTTAAATAATTCCTTTGAAATTCTCAGGGCTTTTTTGTACATTTCCACATTTATCATAATACACTAAACATCTACTTCTTGCTATAGTGGAAGATATACAAAAGGCGACTTGAATTTATATACGCGTCAAATTTTTCCCTACCGCTTTCTTTTTATCTTTATTCGCATCTCATAAATCTGTACTATATATATATTTATATATATATATAGACAGACGTGAATTTTTTATGAAAGAAAACAAAAAAAAAAAACGTTCTTAATGTTAAGCGGATGATGATTTTAATCAATCCAACTTAAGCGATTTTATTTGAGATTATTTTTTCTTTGATTTTTTTAACGATTTCTCACCTATACCTGTACGCATTTTCTGTTATCTAATTACGAAAAAAGAAAAAAAAAAAAACAAAAAAATACTATTAAGATAATTTATATTCTTATGCAAATTGTTGTAAAAATACTTATCTTTCTAAATTAAGTATTTAATTTAATTTTTTTTTTTTTTAATAAGAAAGAAATATACATAAAATATGATTTTTCAAATCGTTGTTGTGCGCTGATGGCAAAATACGCCATATGGACTTAGTTTTAAAGGTTGTGTTGTGTTATTCCTTCTTTTCCTTAATAATTTTCTTTACTATTTTCTGGCCTCTTCGTAATGATCGATGTACCATTGAACGCTCATCTTAATGGCATCTTCAAAATTGGTGAATTGAAAATCAGGTAAGAAGCTGCGTAACTTGCTATTGGACGCGGTTTTTTTATACTGGCCATCGGCCATATTAGTATCGCATACCAATTGACCTTTAAATGCAAAAGCGTTAGCTATGGCTTCGGCTAACTCGTAAATGGTAACTTCTTGCTCTTCATCCGCACTCAAAATAATAGGCTCGATGGAATTGTAATTTCGTAAAACCCAAATCATTAGCTTCGCCAAGTCTAGAGAATAAATAAATTGACGCAGCGGTTTACCCGATCCGTATACATTAAATATTTTATCTTTATCTGCCGTATCGGCATCGTGGTAAAGTAACTTATGCATACGAAAAATCATGCCAGGTATAACATGACTGGAATCCGGTTTGTAGTTATCGTGGGGACCAAAAATATTGCATGGTATCACAGAGGTAAACATACAACCGTGTTTGTCGTAATAAGCATGATTTTGTATATCGATTAGACGTTTCGCATACGAATAACCATAGTTGGAGGAATGCGGTGGTCCATTGTGTATCATAGTCTCATCAATAGGATAAGTAATTTTGTCTGGAAATATGCATGTACTTAAACACGAAACAACTTTTGCGCATTTGTATTCGTAAGCTGTTTGCAAAACATTATCATTAATTTGCAAGTTTTTGCGCTGCAATAACACGAATAAGAGAAAATATAAGAAACAAAACATATGTTCGCCTTAAGGCGAATCTCAAAGGAATATATAAAACTACATTATATTGAGTAATAACCATGAAATCTGGCGGACACATCATATTTACAATAATGATAGATTAATAATAGATTAAAACAAACAAATCCTTTTCTCTTTCAATGTACATAATATCCAAAATAAAATCGCCAAAGGTTCAGGTTACTTTTTCAGCCCTTTCTAGGAAGAAAGAACAGCGTGTGCGGACTAGTGTGATAGAATCAACTTCATGATTTAATAAATTTAGCGATCTTATATATATTTTAAGTAAGGCGAACAACTGCAACCTTATTGAAGAGTTTACACAGTTTTTCACTCACATTGAAAAGAACTGTAACTTGGAACTAACAAAACTAATCTCTTTCATCATCGATCGGCTTACTTTATGTGGCTTCTTAATTCGTATTTTTTCTTAGAAGTGCATTCTTTTATATTATTAATTCTCGCATAACGATCGTCCATCGTTAGTATGCACTTACCAGAAAGTCTAAATTATTATTCATATTATGAAATAATCCTCCAACCATTGCAGCCAAATGTATTACATGAGTGGGCTTATGTTTTGCAAACAACAATTGAGTCTCATCCAACTTCCTAAAAAATATTATTATTTATGTTAACAATTATTGCTATATGTTTATACAATTTTTTCATATCACTGACGTTAAATCGGCATCTTTGCTCCCAACAAAATGCCATTCTTCATTTTCTGGTTTCTCTTGGTTTATTATGGCTTCCAGAGCTCTTCCTACGAGGCCAGTGCCACCTGTTACCAAAACAGTTGACATTCTGTCGATCTGTGATGTCTTTCTACGAATCGTCTGTTGAATAAAGTTGCTTTAATGTAAAATTAGATATTTTCACATTTCCATCCCAAATTTATAAACAATTTAAATATTTGCAGTAAGCCACTTGGTTTATTAGAGGCAAAACGTTTTAATTTTTTTTTAATTAAATATAAACAAAACTCATGTGGTTCATCTTTTTAACAAACACCAATTCTTTGACGTATTTGCAAAAAATAAGCAACGTATTTATCCGATATAATATCCAGATCAGCTGTTTTATGATAAATAGTAAAATTAAAACAACTATATCCCTAACTTTTACTAGCATATTAAAACAAGAGAAGTTATCACATAAATGAACGACAAACAGCGGCCAAACAACGAAAGCTAAATATTAGCTAATATTTGCTATATTTGTGATCACAGTCCAGATAGCATAATAAAGACAAAAATATGTATTAGGCCTGAAAAAACACCTATGCGTAATTCCAGGTTTCTAGCTAATATGTGCTAAGCACATTACGCAGTCGCATTATGGGAAAAAATTGAAAAATCCATGTAAATTATTATTATTATTATTTTAATTTTAGACTAATGAATTGAATTCTTAGACTAAAAAAAGACATTAAAAAGAACCAAATGCTTTGAGAAGAAAGCAAAATAAGCGTAGACAACAATTATACGAAAAACAGTAACAAAATTGGTGTAAAAGCTAATTAATTATTACTATTATTAATTTAGCTAGAGAACTAATTCTAAGACTAAAGTCTTAAGGCACAGTTGCGAAGGCCAAATTTTTCATAACCATCGGTTTTTCATTCAGTGAATACTCAAGAAGAAGAAAATATTATATTTTTGAGTTCTTTACATTAAACATTATTCCGGCAAAAGGCAATAATACCTTTGAAATGCATATATCAGTGAATAACGGCAACATTATGTCATCATTAAGACGTAAAAGAGATTGGAATGAAATGATGGGAGTTTTTACGAAAAAAAATTATTGGTTGCGTTTATAATTTTTAAAATGCCTAAACAATATGAAAGTTATTGAGATATAATTACATCATATTTGAAAAAGTGACTTTGCTTTGTTGCGTCTCATGGTAATATATCGCGAAACCAGTGAATTTGTGAACGAATAAAACTGCTGGAATTTGTGATTACATTGCGTATCTCAAAGGAAAACAAACTCATTAAGATCATCGCTTCAAGGATATCTGAATGAATGTGATTGTAACGGCGTGAACATAACGTAAAAAAGAAAAAAATTATAATGTCTTCCTCTATAAAAGTAGCCGTACGTGTACGGCCCTTTAATACGCGGTAAGTTATTCAAAAGCGAAAATAACTTTAGTAAAATCTTATTTTCCACGTTATTGTTATTGTTTGATGAGTGAAGGGGAAATTTGATTCGTTCCGAGTGTAAAAGTTAACTTGATGACATTTCATAAAGTGATCGCAACATAATGAAAAAAAAAAAAAAACAACAAAGTTTGCAATAGTGCTAATGACTCAACAATTACTTGCAACATAATCTTTGTTGCAGCATAGACATTCTTAAACTTTTATGAGAAATGAAATAAATAAAAATTGCCCTAATTCAAACCCTCTTCAAACTTTTCGATTATTGCGCGTTTAGAATTTTTCGGAATTTTAAGGCTTCTAGTAGCGATTAACTTAAGATTCTATTAAATGTCCCCGTTTTTTATATTTGCATTACAGAGAAAAAGATATGCAGACTCAGTGCATTGTTGAAATGGACGGCAAGAAAACGCGTATTTTGAGACCAAAACAACAATGTGTACGCGATGCAGGTAGGGAGAATCACCACGATTTTACCTTTGACTATTCATATTGGTCTTTCAATGAGAATAGCAGTCAGTTTGCGACCCAAGAGCAAGTTTATAATGATCTGGGAACCGATGTTGTCGAATGTGCTTTCCAAGGTACTGTCAATGCTCTTATCTTGCGAAGAGCTGGTATATACGCTTTGAAATATTTTTCAGGGTACAATGCTTGCGTGTTTGCTTACGGTCAAACAGGTTCCGGCAAAACGTTCACTATGATGGGTACACTCGAAAATCCAGGTCTTATACCGAAAATATGTCAAGAGATGTTTGCACGTATGCGCGTGGGTCAGGAATCGGGTACGGGATACAAGACTCAAGCCAGTTACTTGGAAATTTACAATGAGAGGGTAAAGGATCTCCTAGGTGCTCAGGCTGTTGGTCACGGTCTAAGAGTCCGCGAGCATCGCTCGTTGGGCCCTTACGTAGAGAATTTGTCGCAACATTCTGTGGCAAATTTTGACGAAATACAAGTAAGTGTGCACTCACGATATAACTGTTCGATAAAAGTGGAAAAAAACTCTTTCTCTAGGAATGTATTACTCGTGGCAATATCCAGCGGACAACTGCTAGCACAAATATGAACGATACCAGTAGTCGAAGTCATGCAATCTTCACCATAACGTTTGTTCAAGCAGTTTTTATGAATGACATGCCAAGTGAAACAGTATCGAAAATCCATTTGGTAGATTTAGCAGGAAGGTAAAATAATAAAATATTTCTGTATGGGAATTTTTACTAAGCAATTCCTTATTCAGCGAGAGAGCGAATGCCACCGGGGCGACAGGTCAGCGTTTAAAAGAAGGAGCACACATTAACAAGTCGCTTGTAACTCTCGGTAGTGTCATATCAGCTTTAGCGGAGCAAACTAATTTCACTAATTCAAATCAAAATAATAGCGGCAACGTCATCTCAAAACGTGTGCTTTATATACCATATCGCGACTCTATACTGACATGGTTATTAAAAGACAGTTTAGGAGGCAATAGCAAAACTATTATGATTGCTGCTTTATCCCCAGCTGACTGCAATTACAGTGAAACTTTAAGTACGTTGCGCTACGCCAATCGCGCTAAAAATATTATCAATAAACCTACAATTAATGAAGATGCTAACGTTAAACTTATACGCGAACTGAGAGAAGAAATTGCTAAACTTAAATCCATGTTAAATGGAGATGTCGTAAGTTGTTGGAAAAATAGCGTTTTACGTTGACTTTAAATTGTTTTTTTCTTTTGCTTACAGCGTGCTTTTCAACCATCTTCGAAAATGTTGGAAGATCTTCATAAAAAAGAGGCACAAGAAAAGGTACTTACTGAAGAATGGACTGAAAAGTGGAAAGAAGCACAATTAATTCTACAAGAACAAAAAAGTCTCGGTCTCCGGAAGTCCGGTGTAGGCGTAGTCTTGGATTCCGAAATGCCGCATTTGATTGGCATCCACAATGATATCACCACGGGCGTTACGCTTTACAGCCTTAAGGAGGGCGAAACATTTATAGGAAGTGAATGCACAAGGACTCCACCTGATATTGCCTTGAACGGCGACGGTATACGCCAACAACATTGCAGTATTGTATTGAGGGACGGTGTCTGCACGCTACACCCACGTCCTATGGCCCAATGCTGGTTAAATGCGCATTTGATTGAAGAGCCCGTAACTATTTCTCAAGGTGACATCATATTGTTGGGCCGCACAAACATATTCCGCTTTAATAACCCAGCTGAGGCAGCTAAAATGCGTAGGGAGTGTAGCCGTTCGCAATTGGACATGTCTCGTCTGTCCTTAATTACGTCCTCTCGTGAGAATTTGCTTAGCTCGAGTTTTTATTCCGAAGAAGACAATATGAATAATTGCATAGTATCACCTCTGAAGCCTTATGAAAAACAATACCATCCCACAAAGCCAGTGACTCGGGACGATCCTGAAATGCAGGATGAAAATCGTAAAATTCTCGAAACAATTGAAAATGCCTTAAAACAATTAAATATTGTACGTCGTTATTTAGTTAAAGTGATATAAGAAATTCATTAATTATCGTTGTATTTTCAGGAACGAGTACAAATGCATGAACAATATAAAATCAAAGTACAAAAGCTTTCAAGTGAATTAAAACGCTTAGAATGTGAGGAAAAAAACGACTTTGAATATGTGCACTGTAAAGAAAATGAATTAATTGCACGCCGAGATATGTTGCTCTGGGAGAAGAATAATGAGAAAGTGCAGGTACGTCTTTGCCTATGTGATTTTTCCACCTCGATTTTTCTATAGATTGTAAAATTTATTCTAGATCGACATTTTATGCCGGCAAATATCGGCCTTGCAAATGCAATTAGATTCAAAGAAGCGAGACTTTTCTGAATATGTTGCTAAAGAGTTGCAAGAGCTACAAGATTGCGGTAAATTAGAAGAGGTAGAGTATCATTTAGCTTTAATCCTTTATGTGCTGTTTGTACGGTTTTTATTTTTACAATTCAGATAGATGTAAAAATTGATGACTCGACAAACCGGATTGATGATATACTGCTTCAAGCTGCCGAATCACTTGACTCATATGCCTCGCAATTCATAAAAGATACTGTTAAAAAAATGGTTTGTATACACATATATCGAATTTATTTTTGCCTTATAATATTATTTATTTTGTTTCGTTTATACTTTCGAAGAATGAAGAAATTCATTGCCTAGAAAAATATGTATCTGAAAAGGAACACCTTTTGAATGCCAGTACAAAAAAAATCGTACAACTCGATGATTCTCTCCTCCAAATAAAGGAAGAATTAAAGAATTTGCACGTAATCTATGAACAGAACGAATCTCAAAGATTAAATCTAAAAAGGGAAAGGTAAATTAACCTAAATCATCTGCATGAGGCTAATAGAAAAATTCACGAAGAAGAAAAGGAACAAATACTTCAAATAGCTTTTTTTTGAAGTTGATGCATTTTTGCAGCGATTTTCTGATCGGGTTTCAAATTGATTTATCGCATCTTTGGAAATCTTTCAAAATACGTATCTATGACTTATTTAATTTCTTTGACGAATGTGAAACCATAAAAAATTGTCGAAATTTCGGATGAACGTTAGAGCGGATAGTGACCGATGTAGTGAATACTGTGAACATACCCAAAGATAGAGTAACTCCACGCTGTACGTAGGGGTCCGGTAGTCATGAAGAAAAATAACAGGTTTTGCGGTCAAACCAAGTCATGGATTTTTCATGTTCATTTAATTTGACAGTTGAAAGAGTGTTGTTGTGATAACATCCCCTTTGCTTGCTTTGACCATTGTGATTCGTTTGGGGATGAAAAATCGAGCACGGTTTGCTTTCGCAGCACGCGAGCATATTTCAAGCAGTATCTAATCTATAGTTATTAAACAAATATATGGCATATTTCTTCTACTAAAAAAATTTGAAATATTCGCTTTATTTTTTTAGTAATCTCACCGAAAATCAATTGCCTCTAAAGTAAAGCTATATAAAGCTAACTTGTGCTAATGGTTTATTCAACATTTGCATATATCGCATAAGTAAGACGAGACGGACAAAATTAAAATTCCCAGGCCTGCTCTCTGCCACTGTAATCAGTGCATGACTTTCAAGATTTTTCGTTGTAAGAAGAATATTGGACAGTGCCTTAACAGGTTCGGTTTATGTTCGGATGCCCAGTGGACATGCAATTTGATATGCTTTCATATAAAAAACGATAATTTAAAAACTTTAGTTCCACGGATGTTGATGGTTGATGATCAGTGAAATTTTCACTTAGCCTGTTATACAGATGTACGTCTGCAATATATTAAAATAATTTTTGAATGAAAAATTTTGAATACAGCTTAAAATTAAATGTAAATGCATCATCGAGCTTTCCCGTAACGTCTACGCCCTCTAGTAGTTATTCGACGTCTGAGGATGTGGATGATAATGATGATCTATTGTCGGTTTCACTTTCCCGCCCTTTAAATAATACGAACAATACCCATAATATTGCCGCCGATCTCAACTTGGTTTGCTCGAACGTCTTGATGAGTGATAGTGGTGTTTGCCTCGATCAAGTCAAATCGACCCATAATAATGAGAAAGATTTTAGTGTCCAAGTTGCATTGGCTGATGATCAAAATGAGCAAGATGCGGCTTCATGTTCGTCATGTGAGATAAATCAAAATACAAATAACATAATTCGAGTGCATTGCCCAATGCAGAGTTTAAGACGCAAAATCGCTGCCCATAAAGCTTTGATTATGAAAAATCTCGAAGTAGATGTGGATAAAATGCAATTGGACATACAGAGCGCTGAATTGCAGGAACTTCAACGTCAGTGCATTCGAATGGAGAAGAAAATGCTTAACTCGGAAAGCAATAGCAACAATCATGAGTTCTGTTGCAACGAACAAGAAAGTTTAGAGGGACACATTAACGGCAGTATTTTCAAGGAGGCACAATGCTATGAGGAAGAACCCAATCGCGTCGCTACTCTTAGCGACCCCAGATCCGAAAGAGATTTTTGTAAGAAACATTCTCTGAATTAAAGAGATATATAAAATGATTAATGATTTAATCCATATTACAGCTAATGCAGATCATTTAATTACAATTCCCACGTTTGTAATGCGTGGAGCCGGAAAGCAAACACACTACGAATATGAAGTTCGTATTGTTGTACCAGACGGAAAGCTTTGCATTTTGCGCCGCTACAGCCGGTTCCGGGAGTTACACATGAGCATGAAAAATTTATATGGAGCCAAGGTATGTGAACAGTTAAGATTATATTCAGTTTTCTTACTATTGCTATGCAAAGATTTTCATTCATTTCAAAGTATTCGTTACGCTGTTAGCGTAATAATAAGTAAACACTGAAATCAATTAGTTCTAGATGAACGGCTTTTCTCAGCACTTATAAGTCGCTAAGTATGTGTTTGATGTGTGCATTTCAGATTGTCGCTTTGCCCTTTCCACGTCGAGAGTTGTTCTCTTCAAGCAGTGAATCGGTGGCAAAGCATAGACGACGTTTACTTGAATTGTATTTACGTCGCCTAATTGCAGTTTGCACTCGTATACCACAAAGCCCGATTTATGAGGGCGCCAGCGGACCAGGATTAACACGTATTACCTTATCTCGGTTGTCGCCTTTCTTCAAAAAGGGGATCTTCGAGAACGGAAAGTATGGGACGGGATAATAGTATATTTACTGCTAAATTATCTTCTACCTGCAGTGTGTCTTTTTGTTTATATTTACTACTTATTAGGTTATATGTGTGGACATCGCAAAGTCTCGTAATATTTTCATAAGCATACCCGCAACTAAAATTAGTGGGTAGTTTTCTAATACTTGTGAAATATTTAACAATTGTTTCCTTTGTTATGTTATTATGTTATAATATCTATTACCCACTAACAAATTTATATTTGTGGAAATATAACAGGAATATAAAATGGGGGCCTTTGTCCGTCAGTTTGTTCGTGTTCGTAAAGTGAGACTATGGGCCAACTAACATTTTGACTTTTTCTATAAGTTTCCCAGAGGATAAATAGAACACAAAAAATTCGGCTTTGAAATTTCAAATATGTATCAACAATCAATTTATCGCAGCCTCGTGCATTTTTATACATTTATACACAGTTTAAAATTATATTTCTACGCCTTTTTAAATGGGTGTAAGTTGGGAAAAATTCGGTCCAAACCGAATATTTTCACATAATATTATTTTTATTTTCAATTGTTTTGTTTAATGGAATATATAATAACCATGTATGATTGCGATTAATCTAATTGTATTATATAAACTTTTATATTTTGCATATTTGCATATTTATAGTTATTTGTAAAGAAATAGGTAAGAAAATCGCAGCAATAGGATGTTGGACCTTAACGAATGAAAAATGGAAAGTGAGCAATACTTTCGGATGATTAAAATAGAAAGTCATCCCATTACGCATATATATAGAGAACCATACTAAACTAGCCATTCAGTGAAGTTGAAGGAAATCATCTATTGGTTTGTTCGGGAAGTCAAGTCGCTTTTCCTTTTTTTTTTTTTGGTCAGAATTAAAATCCATTGTTTTTGTAATGGACAAATATGTTATTATGAATTGTCGAATTCGATAAATGTAATCTCTCAGCGTGGGTTCGCATCAGTTCATCGCTTTATTCATCTTCTTTCTGTCTTGATCAAGTCCAATTGATCTTCTAGAAGGTGGTACATCTTTAGTTTTAACACTGACCTTTATTCACATTCAATAATTTTTTTTCTTGCTTGAATAGCTAGCGTTTTTCCTTAAAACTAAAATATGCTGGATTTATAACTGCTTTCGACTTTCCATAGCTGATAAGACGCCAAAGAAAAGCTATTCAGCAGAATCAAACGGATCTTTTCAAAAAAGATCCCTTGCTGTTGAGAAAAAACAGGATGACTTTCCGAACAATCTAATATTTGGCCTTTTGTCCGTCGTTCCACATAGTTATTTAATTGCTTCAGAGAGTGATCCGCCCGTAAGTGAAGGGTTTGACGACCATTAAAGAAATATACCATATTTTCTACACATTTTAAGCAATAACTGCCGCTTGATATTGGATTTCGGTCTAAAAGTTTAACTCTGATATGCATTAGAAAATGATTCCCATCGACCCATTATCGGATGCACAATTAAAAATGATTTACAATAACAAGGGGCTTGTGGGTGTACTTAAATCATTATAATAAGTTATACTTATTTTATATTCAGCTACTAGAGTTAAAGGCGCATAAATTAAAACATATGAACAACCGATACGTAACATAACATACGTGAGTACGATAGAATAACAATCAAAAATTTATCCACACAACACGAGAAAAATGATGAGCTTAAACATTATCTTTAGCATAAATCTTAAGATTTTTTTTTTGAAATATTTTTAAGTTAGTATATCACACTGTATACTTGAACAGGTAGGAGAATTTAGCAGTAGGTCAATTATTTAAATTTAATACTCACTACCGTACGACATATACAACTTGTCATAATGAAAACAAAGCATCCTTGTAGTTTATTGTGTTTTCAATAATTTCAAGATATGACTCGGGACTATTTGTCAAAATGCTTGCGCTCGTCTGAATCCGATGTCGGCTCACTAAAAGTAACGAATAACGAAAATTGCCGTAGCGAGAGGACCGCTATGGTGGCTTTCAACAGGAATGCATTTAATTTAATAACAAATTGGAAATTATAGTAAGGATCGGGACTTTTGAGCTTTCCTAAAGATATCGCATATAGATGACATATTTAAATAAATTTTGAACCTAAGTTATATAACGCCAGTCGACATAATTCTAATTTCTTTCCATTTAAAGCGATACATATGGAATTTCGTGCGTGTATTGTTTTCTTTCTTCTGGTATTAAAATTTAAACATGAACGGGAATACCTCAACGTCAACATATCTATCCAAAGAGATATAAAAATTCGATCTAAAAATGATTTCAGTTAGCCGAAACAAACGAAATATTAGATGACATTTACTATATGGATAGTCAAGCTCCGCTTCAGCTCGAACATAGACCTCTTTCCATTATTAGTTTTTAAAGAGAGTGATGTTGGTACGTATTGTGCGTATGAAGGATCCAAAGTAAATGGCATATGTATGCACGTTTTCAATATGAGGAAAGCTCTGAGTAGATTAAGTCACGTCCGTGCTTGATAGTAACATGACAAATAAAATGGTCGTCGCATTCTTAACTGATGCTTGTAGGTTGAAGGTCAGAAGACAGATATCTGTTGCTTAGAAACTTTATCTTGATAGTTTAAATTTGGACACTTGTAATCTTAAACTTAGTACAAATATTTACTATGACCTTCAAGAAATTGAAATTACTTCCAATCGACGTTCTGCTCTATCCACAAATTCACAAAGTACCTTACAATGGTTTGTTGTTATTAGTCTAAGGTAGCGAGTATCAATAGTTCGCCGCAGGGCGAACCTATGTAACTTTCGTAATTATTTTAAAATAATAATTCTACCTTGAATAAGAAAACAAAAACATTCCTTTTATACAAAACTCATATAAAATGGAGAGATAATATAAAAATTTATAAAGTAAAACAATTAGTAAAAATAACGAATAAATATAAAAACGCGAGAGTGTCGCCAGCTCTTTAAAGAAAAATGGCTCAAAAGTATTTGTTTAATTTATTTGTGAAGCCTAGACACATAAAACGAGGAAATTGTTAATTCATATTGATAAACTAAAAAGTAAAATATTGTATACAATAAAAGAGAGAAGAACTCGTTATATATATATATATATATATATATATATATATATGTTTAGATGTGATTGCATGAAATTAGTATAAGAAATATTCGAAACTGTGAATGAGATGCAGTTAAGAAGGAGAACTTTTTTTATTAACCACAACATAGCCCTTTGCACTCTTCATTTTTTTTTTTTTTAATATAAGTCTAGCTCCTTAATTAATTTACAAAAAAAAAAAAAAAAACATAAAATATGCTCTCAATAAAAAGCCGCATTCGAATATGCAAAGTGTGTAATTATTTTTATTTCTTTTCTATATGAAGTAATACATTTCCAATAAAAGGATATCACGTGGAGCATGATGTAGGAATGTCGAGCCACACACGGAAAGGATTAAGGCGCTATAAATATGATAACTACTTTGTTTTTATTTAATATAGTATAGCAGCTATCATCTCCTCCCATCAAACTTTTATGTCGAGTGTGACTCGACATTCCTACATCCTCCTATATTCTTACGTTCCTCTTAGAAGAGCAGGGCAGAAAATCGAAATTTTTAATCTTTATTACTCCAGGTGTAAAATTGCTATTCGCTTGGATGTTGTGTTATTGTAGGCATGTCAGTCGTTCGATGGTAATCCCACAAGTTGATATATATACATTGCGGCAAAAGTACTGACAATGTTTCTGCTTAAATACGACGCTGGCAAGGCACGGGGGTTGATTGATATTTAAAGAACTCGGTAAGGGGATTAAATCATAGATATGGCAATGAAATTTTACAAAAGACACTGAGTTTTACAATTTACATTGGTTTGGCAGCCATTTCGCACTTCTTCAACTGCCAGCTAAGCCATGCTGCGCCCTTCTGGTGAGTACGCTGCGTGTGGCAGAACTTTCCATACGAGCTGCAACAGTCTATCCCGGACAACTCCTGCAACAAATGGCCAAAAAATGGCATTTTCAGGCAATTCGTGTCGCCACTTTTAAACTGTTGAAACCAAGACCGACAATTGGGGCATAATGGGGCAGCATCACCATAAGTCTCTGAACGTGTTTGGTGGGCTATGAGAGCAGATTTCTTTAAATAAATAACAAAAGTAATGAATTTGGAAGAAGAAGAATCTTGAGTGCTCCATAATTTAGGTCGACCTACGCTATTTTATCTAGAGGAAGGTCAGTACCATCGAATTCAACCGTTATGTACGCTGATATTTCCCATTTTTAAGTGTGAAAGTCGGTGATCAAAATTTTGCTTAGGTGCATTTCAAATCTCAAACTAGAATTTGTACAATTTATGGGATGTTTTGGAACTTATTTTCGCGTCTTATAAAGGTATTGAAAAAAAATTAAATTTTAATACACTATAATAAAGGGTAGGCGTGGTAAATTTTTCCTATTTTCACTTTTTTGAAAACAGGTGTTTGCAGAGTGGGCGCGTTCTTCAAACGATTTGGACCATTTTCCATATCAATCTGCGTGCGAGAACTTTCAATCCTTCTGCCAAATTTGAAGGCAATAGCTTCATTTTTGCAGTTAAGAATCTGTTTACAAAAGACATTACATAGATGGATGCTTATCTGATGCTTATCAAGAATGTATATATTTGATGGGGTCTCTGATTCTTCCTTCTGGATGTTGCAAAAGTTTTGATAAAATTAATATAACTCTCTTCCTTCGGTGATTGGTATAAAAAGTGCTTAGTCTACGCCATCCAAGTTATCGAAAAGAAAAAGCTAATAATTTCCATATATGCCCTTTTTTTCCAAATATTTCTGATTCCTTGACCTCGATACTGCTGAATAGACGTTTGATGAAGACTGGGTTGCGGTCGCTTTCTAAAATCAATAATTTTGATTAAGAGAAACCGAAAAGCATAAGTGCCCTCAGATGAACTTAAGAAATTCTTAAGAAATTTTTAAAACGATTTAGTTTTTGCATATATATATATATATTTTTTTTTTTTTTACAACCGTTTCTTCTTTTTATTATATAAACAATAATTCATAATTAATTTAATTGTTGCACGGTGAAGGAGAAACCAACAGCATATTAGTGTACCTTAATTAAAAGTTAATTACAAAGAATAAAAGAAATTAACTACATTTGTGTTTCGCTTAACATTTCTTAAGGTATAAATGAAATTTTTTACTTTAAATTCATTTATCTTTTATTTTTGGTTTCGCTTTGACTAGTGACGTATTTATTAAAATAAATTATTGTTACAATTTGAATTAAATTTCTTTTCATTTTCTACAGTTAGACAATCGTGTTTGTTGTGCACGGGTGTTTTTAAACAAAATTCCTTTCATATATAAAACTAAGCATTTGATCAGTTGTATTAGTTTCCGAGAGGAGGGGAAATCAATTCAAAAATTTATCTATACGTATATTTGTGCAATAAAATTTAAACAATAAATAAATATATTGGCAACACAATAGGGTAATAAATACAACACCACCACCAAACGATTAGTTCAAAATTGTGCCTGAAGCATTTAAGCCTTTAACTAGCAATTTATTATTGTTAACCAAATAAAAAAAAACAAAAAAAAAAAAATATTAAAGCGAACTCCACCCGGACTAAAAACTGTCGTCTTTAAATGCGCTCGACATAATTTCCGGGAAATGTGCCAAAGCAACCGGTACGTTGAGAAGTGCCAACATACCAACCATCGTCGCATTTCTCTAAAACATGCACCAAATCACCTTCGAACAGCTCCAGTTCATCGGAATTCTGTGGCTGATATTTATACAGAGCTCGATATCTATTAACAAAACGAAAAAAAAAAATGCAGGTTTAATTTCAATTTTTTTAAGCTGATATAAGATAAAGTGGCTGAAAATTTTCCGACCTAAATATGAAGATCGCCAGTAGTTTGCTAATGCCTTGATAATTGCGAACAAAAATTTCAGATAATTTAGACGTACAGTTGTCGGTGAATGATCGTTTGAGTGAATTGTTGTGAATTTTCGTGAAAATGGAAAAAAATGAGTATCGGGCTGTTGCTGCTTGTTCTGAAAGGTCTACAGGCGGACTATAGGACATCATTGTCATGCCAGTTAAGGTATCGTCGAAAGCTCCAGAGGACTAAAAGCTATAAGCACTGAGGAAAGCATCGCTTATGTCTGTGAAACATATGGAAAAAGTGGTTGTGAATATGTCTAAAGAATGCGCTGATCGCATAGGCATGGGAAAACTGACCACGCATTCTGTGGCTAGGCGCGTTTGTTCACAGTAGAACAAAATGTTGGAGTCGTAAGACGATGGGAAAATTGAATGAATCCAAACTCTATTTGCTGCGCCTATTCCGCTCAACCGCCAATGAATATTCTCTGTTGGCAAATATCGTATGGATGCCTCAGGAGTAATTACTTAATTCAGATGATGACATCATTGTGGAAACTGAAGGGTATTTTGACTGTCTTGACAACCTTTCTATAGAAAATATAACCTAAATATTAGAAATACTTGAAAGCAGCTATACCGGAACTTTGCAAGAGAGAACTTTCATTATATATAGGTCAGAAACGTTTCAAACAATTGTCGCACATACACTATTGGTTCGACATTGGTGTCGACATGTAAAATGTCCGTTTTGTTCTTCTGCGAAGCTCCTTTTGGGAAATAATTATTGGTACCAGTTTGAGTGTGATAGCCATGGCGGATAAGTGTGTTGAATTCTTGATTAATATTGGAACGAAGCGTGTCCATATGGCGGTGCGTTGTGCGATCCGTCCGCGTGACTACATCCTCAGCTCCAATATCGATAAGTACCTAAAGCTTGCTAAAATCAATTCCTTTTCTTCTTCATATTTGAATGTCAAAGGCTTACCTCCACATAGGCAACGGGAAAGATGCCCTTTCTGTTAGCTATTCGACCTTCAAACCAATTTTCGTCTACTCGTCGCGTTAGAGAAACTAATTCTCCTTTATTCAGCGATAATTCAATGCCAGATTGTGCTTGAAAATTATATTTTGCTCGGGCTTGACCTTCTGATGGCTTTTGTCGCGTTTGTTGTTTTAAATATTGTATCTCTCCTCTGCTGATGATCTATACGAAACAATGCATTATAATATATTTTATCAAAAAAAAAAAAAAAAAAAAAAAAAAAAACAAATAAAAAAAAAGTTTATTATCATCGCTTTATACTTGGTTACCTCAACATAATTAGCTGGAAAGAGGCCGACCATGGCATTTCGTTCACCCTCATACCAGTTTTTATCAATAGTTCGCCTTATATATATGATATCGCCTTTCTTAAAGCAAAGTTCTCTACAACGTAAATATATGAAATGAAAATTTAAGACATTAAAGTCGCCATAATAGTATTTTAATTGAATTTTTTTTTTTTTTACCTCGGATTTTGTCCCTGGAAATTGTAAAGGGCCCGAGCTACAGCTTTGGTTTGTAAATCTTGTTTAAGCGGCGATTTTGGCGCCAAATCGGCTGGAAAATCATCGTAACGATTAAGGGCGATTGGGGATTTTTGTGACGGTGTAAAATTGTCGGTGTGGCGACGAGCATTCATATCTTGCAGCTCTTGCAGGTACTTGCGACGGCGTTCCTCCTGATAAAGTTTTTGCATATATTCAGCTTGGCGTGACGCCAACTCTTCGTCGGTCATCGGTGGTGACCTTGGCTCCTGACATACGGGCGTCTTAAAATATATACTCACATCGGATTCGTGATAAAGATTCGGCGAAACTGAATACAGATAAATCAAATAACAAGTAACGTTTGATTTTACACGTGATCAACGCTTAATTGATTTGCTTTACTTTTCTTTTGTAAAATTTATGCACAATTTTCGCATCCGCACCCGCACCCGCACCCGCACTCGCACTTTAAATGCGTAGATATATATCTTTGTGTTTAGATAATGATATGAAACTTTAAAGTTTCTTTTTTATATGTATTTGCTTCGTTGCGTGTCAGGCTTATTAATACTTAAATGAATTTATAAATGATTTCATTCATTTATGTGGACGGACAATTTCTACAAAGCATCCGAAAATTAACTTTCACCATTTGTGTTTTCTCCCCTTTTGTTTTTCTTTTTTTTTCGTCTTTTTTTTTTATTATAAGAGCTTCGTTCTGTTTGTTAACTTTAGTTGCTAACGGAAAGTCAAAGTATGTTAAGATGGTTAGTACTTTCGCATCATCTCAGTATTTGAACTGTTTGTTAAGCAATTGATAGAAAGCAGGCAGTATGCACTTTTTACTAAACTTTAACTAAACTTTAAGTTTATATCATCCGTGAATCGAAAAGATTGCCTCAATGGTTGATATGCTCGCTCTTCGTCTTTCTTTGTCTAAATTGAATTTTTTTATTAAGAGTAAAATTTTCAATTGATTAACGAAAGCAAACAACCGTCTATCGCTAATTGTTCACTTGTATTATAATTTTTATCAAAACGATGAACCGAAATTTAACCTTTACACGATGGGACACGATGGGCATTCGGAATTCGTTCTAAGCCCTTCACTTGCTTTGTTTTACTATTAGACACAATGAATGACACGTACTTTGTTTTCAATTTCGTGTAAATACTGCTTCAGAGCGGATTTAAGTATGAGAAAACAAAAAAAAAGAAAAAAAGAAAAGACTGTTAAGAGAATTAAATGCGCGACACACTACCGTTTATTGTAGAAAGAAATTTATGAATGAGTAAATATGTGAAAGCACTTGTGTGCAAATCAAGTATAAATAATCGCATATAAAAAGAGATGTTCGCCTCATTTCTTTCCTTAGGAAGCGAGCGAGAGACAGAGAGAGAGAGAAAGAGATTATATTTTTCATTTCGTAATGGAGGATATATTAATGTTATCACAAGATATGCCAAAGTTATAAAAACGGTTCATTTCTTTATGATATCAAGATCCAAAAAATTTGTCTGAATAGAGTTTTGAGTAAACTATTTTTGGTTTTTACAATGGTTTTTAATAATAAATTTGAGAATAATTATTTAATAGACATGATCTGCTTCGACTTTAGCTGATTAAGAAGTCCATAACTTAATCGCTGATTAGCATAGAGAACAAAGTGAGGAAGCGGCGTCATAGCTAAACTAGTATTTCCTCCATTTCGAGGGATTCTACCCCGTAGCAATATATGTTAAATAAATGAAGAGACAAGCTAAAAACATTAGAAGATAATAGGATGTAATGTTTCCTTACACTCGTCAAAGAATCACGCGGCCATGTTAGACTTGGCGTTTCATTTGCAGTCTTTCGAAATATCCATCAAAGACATAATGTTATTTTTTCTTCAGGGGATATGTTACCTATGCGTTTAATACGCTGATTGCCAGAAAGGGAAAAAGAAAGAGTGGCGAGCGCAGCCAAATGGGCGTGTGTCCAATCGGCAAGTGTTGCGCCTTTGTCGATTCGGCACTCACCAAAGTAAAATCTACTGCAGTGACATTTGAACCCGCGAGAACGGTCATGGTAATCGGGATTCTTAATTATTCAGAGGAGACTCGAACCTGAAGCAATATGGGCTAAATAAGAAATAAATAAAGTATTAAAAGATTGGACTTCGATTGAGTGTAACGATTTTTTACATCCACCAATGAACCACGTGGCCATATTACTCTTTCATTCGCGTTTCATTTGTAGCGTTTCGAATACGCAGCAGAGACTGTGTAAAATATACATTGTTTTTTTTTTTTTTAATATGACAAATCACTGAGGGGATATGTTCCCTGTCCGCTATGTAACGCTGCCACTATCAGAGAGAAGACAGGAAAGAGACAGAAATAGAGCGGTGGTGGCCGCAGCTTAGCAACTGTGTGCGACATCGATAAATGTTCTGCTTTTAGCGATTGAGCACTTGACCAAACAAAACTCTACCGCAGCTAAGATTTGGGCCAGCGAACACTGACTTCTTACTCATGGTTCTCACTTACTCGGCCAGTCAGGCAGATATCGTTGCTTTTACCTGTCAAGCAACGATCTTCTTGATTCCGTCTGTCGATTTGCTTATTGTTCGTGTAACGTTCATGCTTCTCAAAAAGGGGAACGGGAAGCAGAACAGATACTCCCATCAATAAGAAAATTCTTTCTTCATTTACTTTTTATGCATTAGTGTCAAGTGGTGGGTATTGAAGATTCTCCTAAGAGGAATAAAAATTTTTCCTTACAAGTAAAAGTAAAGTCCTCTCTACGCAGACAACAATATGCAACAATAGTTTATGTGCGAAAACAGTTTAAAGATTTATGTGTCTCTATATAACTAAGTTTGACTCAGAAAATACTTAAGAGAAAATTCATCATAGTACTCGTTCGTCTCTTTGATAATTTATAACATGAGATATGTTAGTTGAAACTCTTTATCTGTTTAAAGCTACTATGTAACACCACCAGATCTTTCCGATTGAGACGATAGTCTTGCATCTTATGGGTTTTTCGTTCAAATGCTTCAAAGGCAACATTCTTAGGATGTAATTAATTTGTGGCCTCATTGTCTTTCGGCTTAAACAAAGCAACAAAGTTGATTGTTGTTAATAAATTCATAGTAATTTACTCTTGTTACACTTATTACAGTCGCGCATGTTGTAATTTTTTCCGCATTATTTTCAATGGATTCTTTACATGCATCGTCAAAAGATGAGATATGCTCAGTTTGTCAAAATGTTTGCGATATTTGAATTTAAGCGTAAGGAATTCTATAAGATGTAAAAGTCTGTTATGACAATTTGCAAGGGTTAAATACCCCATGGCATAGAAAGCTGGTATAGCGAAGACAATGTTAGCAAAAAAACGATTTCTTATATTCCGCAACATTCAACATTGGAAAAAGAAGGCGTAATGTGCCCAATAAGGTTTCTAAGTAATTCGAAATAAAGACGAACACGAAGGCCTCGTCATAGTTTCTTTAATAATTACAGCATCACTTGTTAGGTAGTATCAACATTCAAAGGAAATGTTTTAAAGTTATATGGTCTACCGATTATTCGTTTGCGCGTTACGGTCGTTTTCATATTTCATATATGTATTCAGTCAATATTGGCGACATTTACTTGCTATCCTATGAACTTATTGAGTGACGTGTGACTACAGTATTTATATAATTAAGACGTGGTAAAAATCAATATTACGGCCATACAAAACTATAATGTACAAATGCTCTCACATAACTTGCTAACGTTTTAAAGTTATGATATATGTATATATATCTCAGATAGGCCTAAACAGACAAATATGGTTACCTCTTTTATTTTTTCCTATAACTGTTACCGAGCGATGGGGTTGAATTCATTTTATAGAAATTTATGGAACAGAAGGAATGTTCAGGGACCTTATGAAATGTGCATATTTTTGATCAATATCGAACACTGAGTCTATCTAAGCAGGTTTATCCCTCTGTCTCTCCGTTTACGTGGTAAGCACTCTCTTGGCCGCAAACAAATCGTCTTCAAACTTGGCGAAAACATTGAAAGTTCTTGCACGGAGGTTGATTTTAAAATTGGGTAAAATGTGTCAAAGAACACCCGCGCCCGGCTTGAACTGAGCACATTATTGTTTTCAAAAGAGAAAAAATTGAGTTTTTTGCTCATTTCTTATATTCTATAACAAATATGGCGATAAAAATTTCCAAGTATAATCTGTAGGTGATCCTGCACAAAAAAGAGAAATAATTGTTTTTTTTTTCTTTTCTTAGGCAGAGGCGTTGGGTACAAAAGATTCGGCCACAATCGCATATAATTTTCTCACTTTGCATTTCTTTTTAGTTTTGCGGTTTCGTTTAAAGCTTCCGACGATAGATCTTGTGACTAATGAAAAATCTAGTTTCATACTTTCATTAATATTGGATATTTCTTAGAAGTTCTAAATTAATTTACTTAAGCCAACTCAAAGGTATTATCATCAAACATTTGCAAGCGGAAAGTGAAAGAAGAGAAAGAGTTTGCGTTCGGGTAGAACTGAGATTTTTGTTTATAAGCGCTGATCGTTCTGTTTTTCAATTTTGACCTCTGCTATCGTTTTTGTTTTTTATACATTTTGATAGGCAGATGTACCGATTTAATCTGCAGGTTATAAGAACGTCATGTGTTTAGCAACGGCTATGATTGAGTATTAAAAATTAGCGCGTTCCTACCATTCGGCGTTATGAAATTGCATTGTGGATAAGGAGGAGTGTTAGTTATATTTTCGGGTTCGTGTTTCGTGTTCAACGTAATTATTTTTTATTTATTTTCAAATTACGTGACAATCCAGGTAGCGTACACAATTCGCTCTTTAAATTGCAACACATATCTTCCCTGCTTGCCTTTACGGTCGCGCATAGGTCATTCGTAGTGAGTGTGGTGTATATCGGGAGTAGCGTAAACAAATTTTTATTGCTTTTTCTAAGAAATGTTTTAACATTATTCGTGAGGTCCTAACATATCTTTAAGATTCGCCTAACAATATGACTTTCCTTGCTGAAGTAAATACATCCAACAAGGTGTATAGCTGCGTTGATGAATGAGTAGAATTCTGTGGCAAAAAGCGATGCCCCGGCGGCTGGAATCGTCAATTTTTCTGCTTAAATCACAGCAATTCGTTCTTAAGACGTGATGAGTGATAGAAAATGGAAATGAAAGAGTGTCAACAGCTTAACAAATGAGTTTGCTGATCAAGCAAATTAGCGACGTCGATTGTAAAGCCGGATATCCTAGGCAACCCCATTTAAGAATAGCGTTTAACTAGCTGTAGGGTGTTATGAGATGCTTCTATAGAACAACAACGAAAACAAGAATAACAACTGATAAAGCTGTGACAATTATTAAAAGGAAAACGATTGCGGGAAGGTACTCCTGATATGCGCATTTCTCAGTAAGACGACATTCGTCCTCTTATTACGCAACCAGTCTAAGAAATTTTAACAGCACTAAACTTGAATGTGTCTTCAATCATCAGAGATTCCTTATTAATCGATCGGCACTTTCATTCTTATTACTATATTAAGAAAAAGATGGTCTTTATAGGTAACTTAAACTTAATCTAAAACTAAATCGCGTGGGATACATGTGTATCTAGCGATGGGTGATAAAACATCTCCTTCTCACTCACTTCATATAACGCCTTATATTCGTAAGAAACTGACTATGACGTTTTTATCTCATATTTTCGTTGCGCTTATTGTTCAGAAGCCGTTGTCTACCTTAGCGGGAACAACTAATGTTTCAGGAGGGAAAAAATTTGCACCAGCATTTTTGTATGTCTATCCTACGAGAAACTTAGTTATCCTTTAAATCCCGAAGAACAAAATGTCTTTTAGTGATGCCTTTTATTCTCTTAAAAGCAACAACAAACTAAAAATATGCGCTGTGTGTGAGGAGAATAATCTCGAAAGGCGGAAGGGTAGGAAAGAAGTTTGCGAAATTTTGGTATTTCGTGTAATTTATAATCTTCATATTTGCTTTGCTTACATTTGCAGCGGGTACAAAATGAGAGCGTGGATTAAACTTAAACTCAACATTGATTAATAATTTGTTTTGAAAAATATGTGAAGACATTATGCATAAGCTCAACATTTCACGTTTGAAATTTGATTTCGAAATTATAAAAATTTGCCCGGACCCTATTTGTTTGCGCACGGACGAACGGACCAACAGAGAAACACAAAAAAAGAATGCGACCGGGATCAAGAAATTACGTAAGATTGGAAAACTTCTGCAATGTTAAGTAAAAGTCATTAACCTTTAAATTTTACATTGGTTTCCCTTTTCGTTTGGCGCGGCTTACATCTCCCTGTCTCGGCATTATCCGGGACATAGCGGGCTTTGGGTTGATGTATTATCGGATCAAATTTCTGATTTGCAAAACAATCGTCTTGCGTTGCAATCGCTGGTTTCTCCCCGTGAACACTGCCAGCCGGCTGACGTTTATGTTTCGATAGAATGTTTTTAATATTGAGAGATAATTTATTTTGATGACATTTGTCAAGAGATTGGCGTGAGATATGTAACACTTGTTGGGCATTGCTGCGCATATCGGGAACTGACGATGAAATTTTCGGTTTTGAATTGTTTCGCTTGTCTAGATGCGTTTTCGAAGTCAAGTGTTCTTTTCGCTTATTTATATTATTGCAACTCATTATTGTTGGAGATAGTCTTTTACGCATTAAATCGCGTAGTTTTGGACGTAGATGAAAGGATCTTTCAGCTTTAGGTTTTGATTTTAACCATTTATTTTGTGACTCAAATTTATGAGTTAACCACGAAACGTCGCCATCATTGCTTAAGATGTCTTTTGACTCTGAGACCGTTATCAAAAGTTCAGGGTCGCTGCGCACCTTTCTCAGCATATCTATCCCAAAAAAAGGACCGTTATCGCTATAATGTTGATGAAGATTTTCAAATTTTCTTCTAATTTTTTGCACTTCCCCGGTATTTACACGCTGCAAATATGAAGAAGACTGAGACTGAGGCGATTGACTCTGTGATGGGCTGAAGTCTCGTTCTTGGTATCGTATATCTTGATCCGCATAGTTGAGGAAAGAGGGGTCATCAAAATATGAATTGACTTTTGCTATTTGAAAATTGTAAATTTCCGGTGGTCTCGGGGGAAGAGACGGTGTACGAAAATTTACTTTTTGCGAACGTTTCTCGCCAAATAAATCATTTAGATTGGTGAGCGATGAGCACAGCTCTTTTCGCATGCGATAAACATGAGTTGGCTTCTCAGTGTGATGCTCTTTTCCTTCTACACTGCATACCGCGTCACCTTCGTCCGCCGAAGAATCTTCACAGGCGCGATAAATCGTTTTCGTGGGCTCATCATATTTACGCTCCTCAAAGTATTTAATTTTCTGGGAAATATTGTCACTTGAAGTCTTAACTTGTCGAAAGTCATTTTTAGAAGATTTCTCAAACTCGATGGGTGGTCTCGGCGGTACTTGGGGTGGTACAGCAAGGGGTATTTGACTTGGGTGATTTGTTTCGATATTCAAGTTCCCATTTAAATTGGATTTAATTTTACCTGCTTCCTGTTTTTTGACAGCATTTTCAAGCAATTGTTGCTTAGTTAGAGTTGAATGGCATCGTACCCTCAACGGGGAGGATAGTTTGATATTGTTCGCAGGCTGAACTGTAACTATATATTCTTCCGAAACTTGATTGTGAAGGGCAGGATCGCAACTTTCGATATTCTCATAATTTAGTTGTTGATTTGTAACCCGTTTGACTTCACCTTTCTTAATCGGAAGACCAAAGTTGTGCGGTAGGTTAGATATTGTATTTCTGCGATTATATGGTCGGCAAGTCTCCAATTGGCGATCATAATTTTGAAAGATCAGAATTTTTTCGAAGTCTTCGCGTAAATCTTCGACAGATCTTTTTTTAGATATCAAACCTAAGTCGAAATCCTTGTTCCATTTAATTTCGTTTATGTCTTTCGAACGGAAAAGAAAATCCTTTTTCTCTTGTTCTTCTTTCAATTTGGCTACTAAGTGATTTAATTCCTTCTCAGCCTTTTCATACGACCGTACTTTGCGCCACTCATCATAATCCAGAAGTTCAGAGCTTTTGCGCAAAGGTCTAAACTCAGTTGTTGATGTCGTTTTTTCCAATTGTCCTATGCGTTCTAAAATACTATAGAATTTGCTTAGTTCTGTGAAACGTTTAGATGTGCTAAGGTAAGAACAAGTAGGACTATGTTGATCGCTATCAAGTGTTGTTGCGCTGTGGGCTAATTCTCTACATAAATGAATGCCACGATTAGAACGGTCATCGGCACTACTCAAACTACTGGCGCGTACTATCTTAGTAGATTCTTCTCTTAAATTGGAGCGACAGCTCTCTATCTTGCGTCTAGATGGAGAGCGCATATTACGTGACTGAGAAATTCGTATTTCACGAGTGGGTGAAAATTTCCTGGAGTTATCGTCCAACCGCACTCCTATAGAGCAATTCGTAGTCTCGGCGTGTTCTCTGTCGCTTGACGCAAAACTAGGGGGACAAGTTTTATTATATACGTTAAAACTCGACATTTCCGATAGAGGCTGAGGTAATGACTTTGTGAGTCTTGCGGTAGATTCGTCCCAAAATGAGGGTACACCTTGCAGGGCAGGTATGGTCGTTATATTTTTATATTCGTCATAAGCAAGCTTGGCAGATGCTGCACTTTTTTCCGCTAATGGCAAAGCTAAAGAAAATTCCGATTTGCTTTCTATCATATTTCGGCTCATTTCTGATTGATTCTGCGTTTTGAGTTTAGATTGGGTTTTATAGGGTTTCTCGTTGAGATGTGTTGCACTATAGTAAGGGCTTTCCAATGAAAATGTCGAATTTGATTTCGCTAAACTAGCACTGGAGCTATGTTTTAGAGGGTACGATAAGCTTGTCTTCTTAAAAGGCTTACCCGCGTTGCTTCTGTAATCTTTGATTATGACTGTGTGCTCATATTCTGGAAAGTAAGTCATATTTGGGAATTGATTTATTGGTTGGTATCGGCAACGTATACAAGAACGAGGCACGGAATGGCTGCGTCTCTGCATAACAGATTCTGCGAGAGATTGAAACGCTTTCTTAACGTCTTGCGGAGACTTTAACGATGGATCCCGTAAAATATTTGTACTGGCCTCAAAAGTTCCGCGACGCAACGATGGTAAGATATTTTCAAGCCGTTTTTTTTTCCTCCGCGAACGTACGCTCTTTTGAGATACTACGACCAAAAGCTACAGGACTACGATTTATCTGGCGTGATCCAAATATTCGCGGTTGATTCTTGGTAGTTTTGATTGTTTGTAACGCTTGTTGAGGTTTTGTAGGGTTTAAAAAACAATTACGTTGGGATTTTGGGGAGAGAATGATATTAGTTGACTTTGGTCGTAAAATCTGTTCGTGTTGGTTTCGCTTCCGTATCCTTACAATACTATTTTCGATTGGATTGAGTTTATTTGCTCCTGCATTTTGAAAACACTTTTCGTGACGTGATGCCGAATTACTAGGAATAGCTGATCCTTTACCGCTTTTCTTATTGCAATGTTTGTTGTTTAGAGGCTTGCCATTAACGGGAACTTTCTTCTTCTGGTTTAGGGGTATAAAAGAGGGCATTTTCTTCGAAAATTCAGATATCATTGCTATTTCTTTTGCCCTTTAAAAGTTTGCCTTACGGACGTGGACGAAAGCTTCTTGCTATACTTGATTAAAAAGTGTACGTAAAGTTTGATAATCATTTTTTTTTTTCAAAATCGTTTAATCGGTGCAGTGCGCTCGGTAGAAGAAGAGATGTAAAGAACAAATTCAACAGGACTGACTCTTCTTCTTATTGCTGTGTCTGGTGTTGGTACTTTTCGTGATTTTAGATATAACGTCCAAATTTTTCTTTTTTTTTTTCTAACTATTAGTAATGTATACACATATACACACATGTATACACGTATATATAAGGATGTAAAGGAAAGTTGAGAAATTGAAACACTTACAAAATTATTAAGAAAATTGCGAGACTATTGATATCTCTTACACAAGAATGGTATAAGATTTGATTTTTGCTTCATGTTAAATATGTGGATTGTGCGGCGTGTGTGTGTAGAGTTGTGCCCTTTGCTACAATATAACAACCGAAATGTTGTAGTTTTACCTTTAAGTTTTTCGGGTGCTGGCTTACGAAAACCATACAATGGCGGTTCGCCACCGGCTTGCACGTTCCTATAGGCAATTTTTTGCTCAATGGGACCCAAAGTGCTGCTCTGCGTTGCTTCTTTCTTGCGAAACACCAAATTTGAATCACTTGTATAACCAGATTCTAATGAAAGAGCTCTACGCGGGCAAGACGTAATAAACAAAATATATTTATCGAAAGTATTATATAATTTTTTAGCGTAATATTACCTGGCGAGATTTCCGTCGTTGGCATGCGAAGATAGTTTCGTTTGGTCGAGTTGCTGTCAAAGATACAAGAAACATGTTTTACTTTAGAAAGTCGTTCATAACCTAAAAATGCTAAATGTTCAAATGTGAAAATCTTTCTAAAGCAAGAAACTGATTTTTTTTTAAATGAAGCACGCGGAAAGAGCTTTGCTGAATTCATGTTCCGTACCGATTTGGTACTTATCCTGTCGCGGCTAGTTTTACTTGGAAATTCTAAGGGCCCAAGGCCCACCATTGAATACCCTACAGCATCCTGCAGTTGTATGTGGAGAAGCATCGAAAAAATTGGGCAATCGGAACAATTTTCAATAACGTTTGTCCTTAAGCCAAAACACGTCAATGTAAAATTGCATCAAAATATCTCAAAAGTTGCGGCCTGTAGATTGAACACAAAAAAACAGGACGGACAGACAAGCATAGATCGAAGCAGAAAGGGATACTGAATCGATCAGTAAAAGAAAAAGTGGGTCTCTCTCAAATCCTTCCCAACATTACCTGCGTCCCCACAAATTTGCTATACCCTTGCACCACAAGTTGTGTAGGGTTTAAGAAGTAAGGTAGAAAAATCTGCATTTGTTGCCCGAATGTCCCAAATATTTGAATAAAAAAGCTACAGCTGTTTAAACCGAAGGGGAACAGCCATAGTTTGGCCGATATGGTAAATATAACGGAACTATACACGCAATTCTCTTTTTACTTGGGCTTTTTTACCCGATTTTGAAACATAACCTCAAAAGTGCCATAGTGCCGCATATATTTTTTACACGATTTTCTAAGCAACGTATCTACCGTGTAAAAAAGAGATTTTGCGCATACTACATTCAGTCGAAAATTTAAACTTTCTGTTAGATTGCTTTAGATTTTTTAGATTCAACTTTTTATACCGTTTCTATACACAACCTGCACAAGTTTGTGAGGAGACAATCTATCAAGGACGGCAATTAAATAATGTTCATGTACCGGGAAAAGTTGAAGAAAACCGAAATACGAATGTTTCGTATTTGCATGCCATGCATTGCTGGTTAAATCATATGTGGCGGGATTGGATTTTTTCTACGCGCGGGGAGCCATTTTAATTACCAGAGTATTTCAAATGAAATTTAATGAACTCCTGCCATTTTTGAAACGGTCAATTATAAATTTTGAAAACTGAACTACGCCGATTTCTCGTAAAAAATTTAAAAATTTAGCAGAAGATTTAACATGACGTGCAAGGGAAATTCCTCGCGTGTCCGCAGGGACTAGCGTAGTATCAGATATTAATGCAAAGCTGTAGTCTGAGATCTATACTGCTGAAAATTAAAGCGGTTCTACTTCATAATCGAAATAATAACATTAATTTGGAATTTCTTTAAATCTGAACGCAAGAAAACCAACACAGGCCCATAAAAAACTTTGTGTCATATAAGCTACTTGCCGTAGTTGTCTTCAATGGTATATATACTTCACGAGCGATAGGGAACTTGTTTGGGAACTATTAATGTCTAAGAGTCTCCATTCTTCCATCCTCAGTAAAGTTTGCTGAAAGACTAAGTTAGCTGCAAGCTATACTTTCAAAAGTTAGCTTCAAAAGTAAAGACTAAATAACAAATCAGAACATTTTCAAGGAGTCGCCTGCAATGAATTCCGATTTTTGATCCTCAGAGCCTTAATGCGTATATTAATTAAGGAATTATTTGATGCAAATTCTTATCCCTGTTAGTTTTTACTACGCTTACACTCCGGATAAAATTAGAATAAGAAAATTACGATAGTTGGATAATGATTTTTGCGCTTCCGCGATAAGGAATTTGTCCCTAACTGACAATTGGCTTAATTTAAACTTCTACTAAAGTATTAATGCATACCACATTATTGAAGATGTCCATTACTTCGTCCCACCACTAAAAATATGAATAAAATACATAAGAAAATAATTCAAATAACTTTTCAAACGTATCTTATACCTTATAACACAAAAATTCAGATCATGTTGAACATGCTGCTGCATAAAATGATGAAATGAGTGAAAAAACGATGTGCATGGATGAGAAAACTTAATTCGTCTTAGGGCAGGGTATTTCTTTTTTTTTTTTTTTGTTAATTAAATAAATGTCACAAGAGGCAAGAATGCGTGAGAAAGTAATTTCCACCCGTACCATCAAATTGCGGGAATTTGTTTGTTTACTCATTATGTTTGTACTACGAGTCAGAAATTTTAGGAAATAGATTTTCTTAATGAGCATAAGAGTACAACCTGTTGTCAAGCTTGAGACAAAGACACTATGCTTAATTCATCTACAATTTTTTTCAGATATAAGTACAACAAATATCCTTTGCTAAGAAAAGTTGATCAGGTGAAACTCATATGTTTCTTGAGTTATACGTAGCCTGTAAGACGGTCCTACGCCATTTAGAGGGCTTACGCCTAAGTTGAAGCGTCGATCTTTGGTCGAAATTCGCCATATTGACCAAAGCGAGGCCTATCAAGCGTCTCTAATTATTTATTGTTCCCGGGATTGTAGAGTAACCACAGCCACCACAATATTCTCCGATAAACCGTTTGGCTCCCGTGCACTGGTTATACCAACTTTCCGTGCTAATTGGAAAATGCGGCCATGTGCATGCGATATAATAAAGGGGCATTCCGATACCTCTGGTCCATATTGTTCAGATTCTAATTCTTTCGGGTGGTCGGCGTTGCCCGGTATTTAGCCACTCTTGCATTTCCATGGATTCTCAATGACCAAGATAAAGCCTCTACTCACATTATTACTTCTCTGGTCGCCTTACAAACTTGTATTAAATTTTGAGGCCTCATAGTCGCTGATTGCTTGATAAAGAAGTGTGAAAGCAGACTTACGATAGTCAGGATACCTTTTCCATGTCTAGCTCCAAACGCCGGGAACATCAAAAAGTTTATAAAACACATGATCCTTCACCAGAACTATTCTTTATCGAACTTCTTTTTGAATAGCTCGATTCTTTCGTTGAATGATGTATTGCCCTATCAAGATGTGATATATTTTGTTAGAGCTTGGTGCAATCGCTCCACAGTTCTAAAGTGTCTACTAAACATTCGTATCCTAACTTGACCTTTCTGATTTTGCGGCAAAAGTCGCTGTCTTTATTGATATGGTTTAAAAATTCGAGTTATCTCGTGAAGGAAAGTCAACGCAATGGAGTTATGAAGGAAAGCGATCTTACAATAAAATGGATTTAAGTCCTTGCGTAAAGCACACGACAGCCGAGTCAAGTCGCTGGTTATAAAACCAAACGAGTTCAAGTCTTTGTGTAAACATTCCATAAGCTGGGCCTTATTGATAAATTCTCATCCTTAATACTATACTTGGGCATAGCACAATATGCTCTTCCGTAAGCTTTGACATATGTTGACAGATGTGAAGAAAGTGAAACGAATGGGAATAAAATTATTTGCTGAATTTAGTTAAGCGTATCCCTTCACCGGTACACTATTGCCTACCTAAACTTTATTCCACTCGCTGAAATTAAATTGAATTTCTGCTGGCCCTGTCTTCATTACGCTCAAGATTTGATTCATTGCTCGTAGTGATGGGTAGCCGCTACTGAATGAATATGGTTGGTATGTTGAGAAAAATGAACTACCTGAAGGCATTTACATGCATGTACAGTTACGATAGTTTCTATGAAAAATTTCTACCAATACGAATAATAAAATATCAATAACTGCGTTTTTCCCCCGGTTCCCCATTTTCTCAGAATGTTTTAAAATTAAAAAGAGAATGAGTGCAAAGTTTCTAGCAGACCAAGCGAATAATTGCTTTCAGTGAATACCTTCGTGAAACAAAAGAACATCTACTAAGGTTATTATGGATGATGCAGGTATGGGAGTAGAACGACATTTATATTAAGGATATTTTCTACTTACCCTTTTCTTTTCTTTCTCTGATATTGACGAATGGCCTGTGATATAATTTTCTATGCGACCAGGTTGGTTTTTATACGTACCATATCCCGATTTAATTGGTTCTGATGTAAGACCATGAAAGCTGCTCGATAAAGAATGGAATAAAGAAATGAAATAATTCATCGGACAGTAATAATGATAGAATCGTTTTGCTTTGTTTACCTATTGTTGCTAGTACTGTTGCGCAAATTAACATTTGACGAGACAGACACTAAACGTTGTGGATTTGTTGTACGATATTTTATTGTTGAGTAATCTGTTTCTTTTGCGGGCTCCGGTTCTGATTGATATCCACTGTATTGCTGCAGCTTTCGACCTAAATACATATGCATGCACATGTAAACAACAATACAAATAGAAAATCATATTAATGTTAAATACAGTTTAATTAACTGTAAGTGGTATATAATTTAGGAATTACAGAAGATGAAAGAGTTATGCACAAAACATGCTGCAAAAGTTAATGATTGTTTATATATATATATATATATATATATGTATATATATTTGTATCTTAATTAGGTATAGCTTGGAATATGCATTTCTATGCAGGACAAATGTGTTTAGCTGATGGTAATTCACTTAATACTACAACTTATAATTGAATTGGATTAATTACATCTTTTGAATTGAGTTCATTTCTCATATCCACCAGCAAAGTAAAGGATATTCTAAAGTTGGGTAAGTCCTTTAAATCTATTGTCGATTAGCACATTTGTCCATCGTCTCTATTGATATTCTTATTTTGAGAAAAGCTCTGCAACCCGTGCGCGATTACATTTTTAACTTATTTTCTATTTTCATGGTAAGGTGTGTTTTTTCTTATCAGATTTGCAATCAAAAAAATGGTCAGATGCCAAAAAGCAGCTTTTCGGACATTTATTTATTTACTTTTTTCGGAGAATGTTCACTTAGTAATGCGAGGGATTTGCTTTGTGCACGAAACAAGCGTCCTAAGTAGAACTACTGTTGGGAAACAATTTCACAGCTTGATGGTACTTTCTCTGATTGTGGTTGATCTATTGACGTCCAAATAGAGCCTCTTTCTTTCTACGTAGAATTAGCCAAAAAGATTGTCAGCTGTGCAGCAAAAAACTCATGGTGGAGGCAATTATTAGAACTTAATAAAAATCTGGAGATTGAATTGGAGCAACGACACTAAAAACTGATTATTTGTTGCGACTGTACTTGCTACAAAACTTCGGCACCCACCAAAGATTCGGGTATAGAAGGATTAGATGAAATCAGATGTATCTAAATCAAAGATTAAGGAGAAGCTTCATCCTAAGAAGTGAAATGGAAGGACGATTCGAAAGAATCAATTTAGCTTTTCTGCTCCGAATAAATGATGCTATACTGTATAGAAGACAGCAAATGGAAATTCATCTTCTAAAGAAATGTGTGACTTCACGTAGCTCAGTCAGTTTACAATCTCACTACTGATTGATAAATCTTAAAGGTTCATTCATAATGACGGGGCCAAAGTTGATTCATCAATTTCTTAATTTGCCAACCACGAGACGACGTTTATAAATTCGTCGAAGGACGTCACAAGGGGGGATTGATACGAGGTGAAATGCAGCAACATTTCAAGCCAGTAAATAGATCGGAGAGGCGAACGAAAGAATTTACAAAGATTAAAAGATCCACTCATGTTTAGCGTTTCGTGTGAAAAAGTCCTAGTTTTGCGGGCACTTTTTTTTTTATATGACTAATCACATAGGAGATGTTTTCTATAAGTGTGACACGGTGGTGATCAAGAAAAATTGGGGAGAGGGCGATAGGGAGTTTAGGTCCGGTCTACAAATGCTATGCCTATAGCTATGATCTCATAAGAATAGCAATTAAAGCATGATTTAATGCACGGACGATTCAGTCCAGGTGTGCCAACTAAATAGTTGCGCTTTTTAACTACTTGGCTTTGCGGAACATCCACATTAACTTAACATACCGTTGTAACACAAGTCGGGTAGGGTGCAAAAATTTTTAAGGCTTCTATGCTAGTGTATTAAAAATATTATTTATACTTTGGTTCGAGATGCGAGATGTCTGCGACTCTGTGTCACTTTGTCTGGAAGATCGATAGAGAGTTTATTCGTGCTTTCTAATTTTATTATTTTATGCATGCAGTCAAATAGCGCTTAGGTGGCGGACTTTTATATTCGCCCCAAAGCGAATACGACTTTCTTTTTTCTTGGAATTTATTAATTTAGCTATCATAAGTCTAAACCAGTTTCGAATTCAAGCGTTTACTTAGAACATATATATAAAACATTAATTAAATTGAAAGAATTGAATAAGAATTAATTAAATTGAAATTAGGAAATCACCTTTTGGACATTTGTATCGAATCAAATAGTCATCTGCTTAACCAAATCGAAAAAGTGTTCATCAATTTTCAAACATTCGTGTATTAAAAATGTTAAATGTTTTGTTCATTGTTTGCGGGAAAGAAGTGTTTCAAATTATTAAATATTTGAATGGAAATCGAAAAGTAAGAAAATCAAAATAAAATTATTATTGTTATTGTTATTCTTTATAAACAAGTATTGAAAATGTTATATTGACAAGATGGAACATATCGCTTCATTCCTTCGCTACATTGAAACTTGGTCTACGAACAAAAGGTTGCAATGAGTCTTCAATCGAATTGAAATGTTTAATTTAAGTCTTCGAACCCATTCAATACGTATGGCATATCCAACACGTTTGACGACTCGTGAGGCTCAAAATATCTCTTTTGTTCTTGTAAATGTTGTCTTGTCGTCTTATCTTGAAATGTTTAGTCTACGCTTTCGAACGCAATCAAGGGGAGCATAGACGTGCCCAAACCCTCACCTCATTGTGATGATCCCCGGACAACGGTTTCGGCCGGCGAAGAAGGGTTTAAGGCTTGGACTATCTATAAATCGGTGACAAGTTTTCTGAAAGATGGTTAGGGATTCACTGGAAGATGAAATTCTAACCAAAAGCCAGCTGGTCGCTGGTTACGTAAAAATAAGTAGAGGTAGTAATTAGTGAGTGCATGGTAGTTCGATCGCCATGTCAGTGCAATGCCCGAAGCTTGTATATCTTGATGAAGGGTAGTCCGGTTGTGGCTTTTGGGTAGTCCGGGATTGTATGGTTAATCCGAAGGCAAGAGTGGTCTGACCCCGTTCACCGCGTAAAGTAATGCTAAAGGCTTTATAGTCTAACTTTAAGCACCACGGGTGTCAGGAGCCCGCTCACAAAGCCATGTATACCTGCGAGTAGAAGTCAACGCAATAAATAAATAATAATAAAAAACGGGATTTGACGGATGGCTTTTCCAACCCTTTTGCCTAATACGAAATTACACTGTAAATTATATAAAATAAATAAAAAACGGGATTTGACGGAAGGGTTTTCTAACCCTTTTGCATTTGTATGAAATGTTCGTGAATGCCTGCGGGTAATGGTGACGATATTGATTAACTGAAATCTTGTAGAAACTACGGTGGAACAAGCCTAAGCCGCAGCAGTTGATCAATATGTGAGCCCTGACTGCTTGAGTACGGCCCTTCGGGGAGTATTCGTGGTGGTTGTGGTTTTCACTTTTCCATGCCAAAGTGGAATAAATCGAGATGAGGATAGGCCTTAACACTGACCAGAGCGGATTTATTGAGCCATACACAATAAACAATCTGGACTCCGGTGTTGTTTAGACCCCTAGTTTATAGGGATTGTCTAAGTCGCTGGAGGGCGTGGGTTACGGTTAAATAACCTGTGTTAAGCCATCATGGGCCACCGTGGGGTTAAGCCATCATGGCAGGTAGCCAACGCTAAACCCATGTCACTATCTGTACACACATACAACAGGTTTGAAAACTCATGAGTTTCGACTGAGAGGTTAATAGCTCCCCTTGTTGTCCTAAATGCAGTTCTGTTGTCTTGTCTTGAAATATTTACTTTACATTCCGGGTAAGCCCACATACAACAGGCTTGAAGATTTATGTGGTTCTATATCTCCTCTTGTTCTTATAATTGTTGTCATGTTTTGAAATGTTTAGGTCGAATGCATTCCCGGCGTACACATACGCCACAGATTTGAAAACTCATAAGGTTCGATCACCTCCCTTTGTTCTTATAAAATCTTTGTTTTTATTATGTAATTGAATTCGCCAAGTTATCAAGCGTCGCCGTAAAGTTCGAATGGGGAACAAAGCGAAATGTCCTTGTACACATCGTGTCCGTTAAGAAGCGTGTGTATACGTGAGCTTGGAATGAATGCATGGTTCAATTGATTCTATTGCTTATGATTATAAAATTTATTGCCGGATTTTCAGTATGCTTCAGAAAACCAATCAATTGGACCATTTAAAGCTAAGAAAACTCAAGAAAATATTATCTCTTGTTTTGTCTTTTTTTTTTCTTTTTTTTTACCGAATGCTTTCATTTTTTAAAATTCTTTTCATTTTCAAATTATGCCAATTATTTAATGAGATCTCAATAATTTCTTATATTTGTCTTTATAGATAAAGATCAAAAAATATTGTTACCGCCATGTTTCTGCTTGTGTATGGTTTGATAGAGACGTTTGTACCATTCGTGTTGATGCGGTTCCTTCACTTCCTGTGTGAATAATAAATTCATTCATTTAATTTCTTTTTTTCTTTTTGTTCTTTTTTTGTTTTTTTTTGTTTTTTTTGTTTTTTCGTCTAACAAATTCAAAGCGAAATATATTAGAGAACTGACACGATCTAAAATGCATGCATAGCAGAATTGATAAAAATTAATTACCGATCTTAAGACGATTGGCATACCGTCATTGGTTACAGGACCAATGCCATCACATAAACGGCGGCCTAACTGTGCCATTTTCTTTGGGCATTCATTTATCGATTCCGGTTCGCTCATATATACGTGTTTAACATTATAAACTGGAAATTGTTTCATTTCATTAATTCTGAGGAAATCATTAGAGAGCTTGAATCTGTGTCGATATATTAATTAGTATGCAGGTGTAAGTAAGTATAGTAAATGGATATACAATATGATGATAAATTTTGTACCATAGAATCATGTGTAATCGAAATTTAAATGAGATAGTGTTAACAAAAATTTTTTTTTTTTTTTTTGCTAAATCCTTTTATGAGAGCAATCGCTGTTAGAGGTTTTTCGTTATTGTATTGTAATTGAACTCAATGATTACCATTCCCATTTACTACTTACGAACGTCGTTGGGTTTGTAAATTGTTCTATGATTATTATCTAAACTTTTGTTTACATCGGACGCTGATGAGGATTTTTCAAAGGCTAAGTGAATGGAAGAATTGAAAACATGCATATCATTAGCCAATGTATTCATAAAGAATAATCGGCAGTTTAGTAAATAGAAGAAGTATAGCATTTACTTTTTATTTTCTCCAAAACGCTACCCTTGGTAATATCTGATGACAAAATCTCCTTTACCTCAACTTGAGACTCGGAAAAATTTCGAGTTTCTTTGGCTGTGCTTGCTGATATATTTATATTTTCGCTGTTGGCGGAGTCTTCTATGTTCTCCCTCCTATTCCACGGCGGCTGAGTTACTTCCGTACCATTTTCAACCGTAAACTTACGGGATGGTCGAGGAGATTCAAATTGTATCGGTCGAAATTCTTTGCGTGTTACTTGCGGCGAAGATTTGGGTGTCCAAACTGGGTGTGAGGGCGGTGGCGGAGGTGTTGGCGGTTCCGATCTGATTTCACTTAAATTCGAAAAAGAGGATGAAGGCGTTTCATTTTTGGGTGACCATATGCCTACGGAAATGAATTATGGAAGACTTTACAAAACTTTTCGAATTTTTCTCGTAAAACATAATTCGAATTGAAAATCAGTGCATCTGGAATTAATTTTATATCGCAATCGTTTGCTCTAAATCATTTAGGACTTTTAATTTATCAAAGCCTATTATTTAAAGAAGCGAAGCAGTTCACGCTTTAAAAACGTTTGGAAGTTATATATATGTGTATACGTTTTTATTATTTTATTTACTTAGTAATCATTTTAAGATCGTCGCGAAGATTCCGAAAAGTGGTAAGTTTCAATTGCTTTATGCGACACATAATGTTTCCTTGTGAAAAAAATACCGAAATGTAAGGACTAAAGAGCATATTGCAGCTTTAAGCAAGAGGGCTGTCGAAGAGCCTGAATTATCATTCAGCCATCTTTCGAAAGTACTAAGGGAAGAAATTGATTAGTTTCAACAGATCAGTTTCTTAGATCGAAACTAACAACAACAATTTTGTATAGGACTACATTTAAATGCTAAGTGTAAGCAAGCAACTTGTAAATTTGGTAGAAGTTTGAACGAAGGAAGACTTTTACAGGCGCTGATAGTCTTTATATTACTGAGTTGATACATAACAACATAATTATCACGCGTCTCTTTGGCGCGCTATATTTTAATAAAATTTTACAATATTCTACAAATTTATGGATCAAAATGTCCTTCTGCTTTTAGGTTATAAAAATGTTTGTCGGTAATCATACTCATATGTGCCATATTTTGCTGCACCATTTTTAGAAAGGATAGAAAGCAGCATAGTTATTTCGCGGTCTCGGCGAACTTTTCAGTGAGGGTACAATCAGCGAAAGTCGATGCAGGAAATGGTTTCCCCATTTCAAATCTGATGACACCTTGACTACCTTGGAAGATAAGCCAGGGATTCGGCAATCAGGCATTTTTGGCGCTCATGGAAGGGAACGAAAGCTTGAAAGCTTGAATGCTGACCGACAACTTCAACGCGGACCATTCAATTATCGTTCGTCGTCTCAAAAAGTTGAGAAACTGGTATGAAAATTGATTATGTGAGTCCTTCACGAACACACATCACCCATAGAAGCGCTCGTCGACTATAAAATCGGCCGGTCGTTAAACAGCTAGCAGGGGAACAAAGTTTATGACGATTTCGATAACTTAGTGGCGGATGTCTCGATTAATCATTAGAAAATGTTGTTGTTCAATATTTATATTCACTTTTTCATAATAAGTAGTGGTTAAGATTGCCTGATAATTATGCGCGAACCTATTATTTAGATAAAATAGAGACCAATGGCTTATAAGGTTTCATCTCCACATCCTCTATCTTTTGAATTTCATAGAGCCATCGAGTCAAATTGCCAAACTCTACACATTATCTTCGACACGTATTTACCATATGTAATAAAACTTTGGAGAATGAGGAGTGTATCCGTTTTATCAAAAAGTTTGCAAAGCCTAAAAGTAAGCTTCAGAAAACCTACAAAGAATGTATATTCTTGATCAGCATCACGTTCTGAATCGATTTAAGCATGTCCGTCTGTCCGTCTGCGTTATGTCTGCTACGAATATGCACCTTCAAGCTTCAAATGCATGTCTGTCTGTTCGTCTGTTCATCTGTTCCTGTGTCCTTCTGCCCCAGTGTGTAGTAGCTGTGATAAACATTCTCTCGTTCGCCTACAAATTCCTTCCTGAGTAGGTTCGGCTCATCTGTCTATCTGTCCGTCTGCGAAACTGTGCCGTATCTGTGGTAAACTTTCTTCCTTTCGCCTAAGAATTCAGAAGTTATCTACATTTTTTTTGTCTTTCTTAGGATAATGGTGATGGATGCAACAGCCTCGGACACGATCGAATATAATTTTCTTACTTGTTTTCCTATATTAGGTTTTTTTAATATATTTTAAGATTATCCTTAAGGTAATGCCGGAAACTGTTCTTTAAATTTGAGAGCTGGTAACTCTTGAAATTTTTCACAAACATTTCACATTTGATCACGATTTACACTTTTGGCAGTGATTCAAAATTAAAAAAAAAAAAAAAAAAAAAAAAGAAGACGAAAAACGCAAGAAAAGCGAATTTGAGACGATGAGTCATTTTGCTTTCGTAAACATATGCATGCATGCATAATTTTGCATTTGTATTTTCTGTAAATAATTTTGTTTACTTTTAAGTGTGTTTACTTTGTACATACGCGAGTGCACGCAGCAAACGGAATAAGAACAAACCAAATACTTACGCTAATACAAATGTATGTAATGTATGTAAGCTAACTGTATCCTATTTAGTGTTCGATGCAATGTCACTCTCTATTAACATGTGTTCTTCTTTTTATTTTTATTTTTTTTTTTATTAAAAAGGGTTCACTTAAGAGAAAATTCTAAAGTATTTGTGTACTCTTGTGTTACGCGTATTTTTGTTTTGATTTATTTTAAAAACTTTGAATTTTTTTGGCAATTGTTTATTACATTTTCTTTTCTTTTCGAGCGCGCTTTGGAGAATTTTTCACCAGTTGCCAATTCCGTGAACGATCATCAGACAACTGACATTCTCGCTGCTTGTAAAACATAATTCAGTGTTCAAATCATCTCCATTGTCGCATCAATCAAATTCCGCACCCATTATGTTTTTCATATATGCGGGATTGTATTTAAAAGCAAATTGGCTTTAATTAACTTAAAAAAATTTATATATATATATATATATATATATATATATATATATAGGCGTACATACGTGCGGACATCAATAGGCATATATGCATGTATACACGCATACGCTCTCATATATATATATATATATATATACATATATGTATATTATAAACGTTTTCGATTATCCAAAAACGAACCCAAATCCACATAAACAGCAAAAATAATGGTTGGTCTTCTCGCTTGAATTTGATATCAAACGAAGTGCGACACAATCGATTCGATTCGATTCGACGTTTGCGTAAAGGTAAGCACAAGCACTTATATGCATACGTATTACGTACGTGTGATTTTGTAGTTTGAAACGGTTTCCGGTCTATGTTGTTATTTTAATAGCAAATAAATAAATAAAAGGAACATCACGCTCAAAATAAGTCAGTTGTAAAGTTTCGCTCTAAAATTTTCTCATTTTCAATTCTTAGTTTTGTGTGTTCTATCGGCTTTTATAATTAATATGATTAAAATAAGGTGCGGCAAAGGTGCGTCCTCAGACATAGAATAGAAAGCTATTTCACTCCAGCAATAGTAGTAGGGTGGTAATAGTAATCGTGGCAGTAGTAGTAGTAGTAGTAGTAGTAGTCGTAGTAGTAGGTTACAAAGTGACTTAAAATGCAACTTTTTTTCTTTATATTATTATGGTTGTTGCTCTTTTCAAAAGAATTATTTTAAACGGTCGATTGATTTGAATTTGGGCGCAATATTCGCTACCTACTTAGGCATTCGTTAAGAAACACAATAAGATATCTCGTTATTCGTTAAAGAGGAAGAAGACGAATAATGCATTCGTTCACCAATGCATCTGAAGTGACAATAAGTTCACTGGAAAGCACTAAATTTGACCATTTTTTTTTTGTTTAAAAAAAAAAGAAGAAAATTTACCTGTTCCACACAGAGCTTTGGCCTTGAACTTTGGTGAGAGTGTATACGAAGTTCGCACATCTTCTGTAAAATTCGTAGAACTCTTTTTAACACAAATTCATTAACAATTTCTGAATAATTTCTATTAATTATTACATCACACACAGTTTATAAAACTAAAAAAACAAACGAATAACATATATATATACATATATATATATATATATATATTTATATATATATATATTTATGTCAATTAATTTATAGTCGAACTAACCCTGTCCCATATTTAATGTTTGACACGACTATAAAAGAAAAAATGAAAGCAAGAAAATAAGAAAAATAGTCCGTATGCTTTTTTCTTGACCGATGTTTAACTTATGGCAGCCTTTCTGATTTTACAACATAGAAAACGGTTTAGATGTTTGCTTTTTTATTTATTTTCTTTCTTTTTTTTCATTTTCAATTTCTATTGCACACATACACGGAGCCAAAGTCGAGTAAAAGTTTCTCGCAAGATCGAAACTACTAAGAGAACGTGAACGAAGAACTGAGTAGTAGTGATGGTAGTAGTAGTAGTAGTAGTACCACTGCTACTATATAAACAACAAATTTAGTATTATTATTGATAATAATAACTGCATATGTGGTCGTATACCTATCTCTGTATATTTGCCTGTAATTTGCGCTTGTAGGTGGCGATAAATGTATTAATATATTAATAAATAAATAAATATATATATATATATATACATATATATATGTATGTATGCATGTCTCTTTGCCCTAGCTATAGGTTTAGAGGTTTACATATACCTACATACATACCTATATGCACACATAATTATATCTATTTCCATAGCAGCTCTCTCATAAAAGGTAAAAATTTTATTATGCTTGAAGGAAATGTAAAGATGGACATGTGTCGCAGTGTCGTAAGTTTATATATGTATATATATATATATATATAAATATATACAAATATAAATATATGTATATATATATATATTTTATATATTATATGTTATATACAATATAAGAATATATATATATATATATATATATATATATGTAATATATGTATATATTTATATATTTATATAAGCAATCTATGAATTTGTTTTTTTTTTTATATGTTCTCTTTATAACCCACCATCTTTGAATAAAAATCCTTTAGCCAACTTTAAATCCTTATCAATTTCGTTAAGCAAATCGCTTTCAGAGCAGCTAAGTCGTTTACAATTGTGCGTATTCGTTAGTTCGGCATGCTTTTGCTTTGAGGATGTCTTCCTTCTTGTTGTTAGATTCGGTTTGAGTTGATTTCCACCGTCTTTTTGATCTAAACAAAAGTCGAAAGTACGGTCGATAACTTGATATATTTATTCTAAATATGCTTAAGTAAGGGTACACATACACTATCACATACACGTAAATCACAAATTTGTAATTGTTATGCACATATTTCCAATTGATCGTTTTGTTGTTGTTATTAAGGTGAATGCTATACGGGAACCCGCAAAACATTCGTTTCGTTTTGATATCAATTTCAAATGATCATTTCTTTAAAGATTATTATGTTACCCGATAGTCTAAATTGCCAGAATTTATTTCTATAGTCTAAATAAGTCATAATAATAATAATAATAATACTTTGAAAGTATTATGTTCACACGGTTGCAAGATTTGGCATTAGAAGGGCATATTTTGAAAAGAATCTCATCTAAACAAAATGAAAAAGTTTTAGTTCGAACTGTACTCGAACTTCTTGGAGAAAGTTTCTTACGAACAATTAATTAGGAGATGACCTCTATTCGTGTAACACGATGGCGATTGCAAAGAAGTTAGGGTTTTTTAAAGCTTGCAAGTCGGCGTATAAATGTCAGAATATATTGGAGGTATAAAATACGTCTCCTTTCCGCAACGATTAATTTTTGCCATAGAAAAAAAAAAAACCAAATTTTCTCTAAGAAGCATGAAAATGAGCAAACTCGATTCGTAGACCAATGAAAAATTTAAAAAAAATGGTAGAAATTTTACTTTCAAGATTTAAGTTGCGGGTACTCAAATATCTCTATGCGCAAGGAATCTTCGGTCTTCCCCGTTTACGGCATCATCATAATTGCAGTGTTCATTTCAACTTAATCAGCCAATAGAGGTATTATTCCGCGAACTGCTGAAATGGGGCATTCACGTTAGCTTCAGGTCGGAAAAGCCAATCGAAGTCGTAGCAAAGTCGTAGCGGTTACATTAAGAGCATTTCCGAAAGAGTATGACTCAGTTATAACGCTCGCCTAATGTTGTGGTTTGAAGCGGATGCTCGACAGCTTTCTCTTAGGGCTCTCAACTATGAATATTATTTTGTTTATTCCCGTACATAAGTAAAGGAGAATAGTCCTCATGACTACGCATAATGTTGTTTAAAATTGTTTTAGTGGATTTTTACAGTGCATTCCACGTTTATTTTGTTATATTGATCAAGTGCTTCTTAAAATCACGTCACTTTATTTGCCTTGCTTTGTTATAGTACAATGTGTACTTATACTCCGTAGTTGATTTCTCTAATTTCAATACAATATATGCGCCAATATTAATCGATCCATATTTAACAAATAGTTTCCTTTTGTCAAATATCGTGCAGCCTCATAATGAAAGAGCGAGTAAAACCCCATACATTACCACTAAAACAACTCTAACTTCTAAGCTAATTGTCAGAATCGAGACAAGTATCGCTTGAAGATTGACTCTACCCTAAAATCCTATCAGAATCGACACAAGAACCGCTTGAAGATTGACTCTATTCTAAAATCCTATCAGTCTAATGACAGTGATGCCATATATGTGTTAGACTGTAGACTTATGCAGTATGTAAACGTAATTTTTATTTCTTACATTCACTTTAGAAATCAATTGAAAATATGAATTGAATATGAACGGAAGGGAACGACATTTGTTACCTTGGGAATCATATATCATATACGTACAGAAACTTCTTCGCCCTGAAGTTTTTGAACTTATTTACGACTATTATACATGATTTGATTAACGTTTGACAATACACCGCCAATAAATGCATTCAGAATTCATTTCAAATAAAAATTTCGTATCATATCGCAATCATTGCAATTTCCGCATCAGATTAATCTAACAATTTAATATTAAACACGTATCGGATATTTTATAAACTGTGCAGAGGCAATGTAGCGTATCCATTTGTCTATTGAAATTTCACTCACAAATTGCTCTCAAATTTTTTGACTTTACTGAGGGTAGATTAGATTTGAAAATGCAAGAAAGTCGGACTCAAAACAAACGCTTGAATCGCTTTCTGAATGGATTTAAGCTTGTCTGTCTGGCTGTCCGTCCGGAAATTTTTTGGCTATTTTAATGAAATATATTTCACTGCTATAGAACCCACCTTTTTACACTATACTTTTTTCACTGCTATAGTACAAACATGAATGCTGTTCCAAACGGTCAAGGTCGGAGCGCTCATAGACAACTGTAGGATGGTGTAGGGTACTTAATGGTGGGCCGCGTTTCGCAATGTCGTTTTTACTTATTTCTATTTCAATTTTCGCCTTTTGGTCCGTCCGTCCGTCCATAAATTTTCTCTCTCAGTGCCAATATTTCTTTTCCTCCGTTCGTTTGCATTGCCGTGAATAGGCCACTTTATATATCTGCTGTCTCCTCGACTACTTGTTCATAGGTCGACTTATCAAACCGCTGTCAGTCCGTTTATCCATTGCAAAATTTTTGTAAAAAACTATAAAAAACTACGCGTACGTTTTTAATGGGATCTCGTAGACCTTATTGGCCTTATAAATTATAAAATCAGCTTCAATGAATCAAATGAATAAATGCTTTCGCAAAATGAAAAAAAGAATCGAATTGAACTTTAAAATTTATCCAATTGGATTACATTTCAATAAAAACAAAACAGCTTAGAGTGCAGGATATTGAATGCAACTTTTTTACAGGTTTTTAAACTTCAATTTTCGTCCTACATACCGTAATGAAATTAACACAAGGTTTGTTGAACAAACGATAAAACAAACAAAGTGTATATTCCGGCCAGTTGCTGAAAACATTCAAGTACAGTTTTTGTTCTATATTTTATTACGTTTTTACATTAATTTCGAGTACAAGAGTATATCGAGTGTTTTCGTTAATAACACATGCAAAGTCAAGCTAATCATGCAATCAATACATTCTATAAATATTTTATTCGGTATTACAATTAATTTTATAAATTGAAAAAAAAAAAAAAACCAAAACAAAAATTTGTTTCTATTAATATTAATTAATTTTATAATTCAATCATTTTATTTATGTTATTGTTATACATATCAAAATATTTATTTCATTATTTATTTGTTTCGTTCGGATAATTAATTTTAGTGGGTGTTATGGCTACTGCAACATATTATATATATATATATGTATATATATATATATATATACATATATATAAGTATAGTATAGCATGATTCGTTTATTCGTGTGTTGCTTGCAAGCTTAGTTCAAATGTTGTTTGTAGTGGCATGGAAATGTTGCCAATAGTTGTTAAACTGTTCAAGGATTCTATCACGAAATGACGACTGAGGGAACAATTCATCAATTGATGGTGGAAACGGTTTTGAACATAAATACTCTGCAGTGTTGGGTGACAAGGTATCGAAGCCTGTTGCACTTGCCTGCGCAGCATCTTTTATATTTGACACGGCATCAGGGATCTCTAAGCACAAAAATCACAAATCACAAATATTAGGAGGAACCAAGAGAATAACGAAAAAAAACAATGAAAGTATAAGTGTACATATATAAGTGTGTGTATGTGAACGCTGCTGTTGCTCATCTTTGCCTATGCGATTTTATCAATATGAATATATGCAAATATAACCTAAGGACCGAATCAGAAAGGAACAAAAGCGAGCATTCAAAATCTGTCTATCACAGATAAATTAAACGAATCGTATGATTATTATTACAATTTTGCCGAAGATGCTCGCGTCTCGTAAGACTAACCCTAAATTTTCATTAGTCGATAATCGACTTTACTGGCAATGTTAGATGAAGTGAATGACAGGGAAATTGAAGCATTTAAGGGATGTTTTGGTTTGGTTTGGTTGGGTTTGGTTTGGTTTGTCTCACTCACCCTGTCCATTATCCCGGCTTGATCGTGACACTTTAACAGTTTTCGTCATCCATGATTTTTTAAGCGCTTTGCTAATCGAATTTTCAGTAATTTCGGAACTTTGTTCCTCTTCTTCGAAGTGCTCCTTTTGATCATTTCCATCCAATTGATCTTGTTGCGCCGTTGAAAATTTAGCAAATTCGCGCAAATGCTTTGGCAACTGACTTGGCTTCGCTTCGGCTTTACCCTCAATAAATTTCACGGATGATACATCCTCAGCCTCGCTAGTTTGACTCTGATTGATAGGTTGCGATTCCGCTCCCGATTCCCAATCGCTGTCAGCAGGTATAGCCAATTTGGAACGTCTCTCCTTTACACGTTTCAAAAACTCGGACCCCACGTCCGTCGCCTGACCGGTGCTGGTTAAAGTTGAAGTTGATTTGTTGAAAGTCTCGCTATTGTCACTAATTTTGGATATTTTAACAACTTTCTGAAGACGGCGCTTTTCTCGCTCGGCTACTTTGCTTAACCATTCTTCGGCCATTTGCTGGCGGAACACTTCGTTCTCCGTAAGAGTAGGTAGCCTTTGCATAGACCTATAAGTTTCGTGCATAGTATTGAACGCTGACGAATGACTTGAAGATTCGCCGGTTTGTATTTCTTCGAGAAGACGACGCCGCTCATTCTGTAATTGTTCAAACTCTGCTCGTAATGCGTTTTCTTTATCGCTTAAGTGCTTAAGTTTTTGGTCATGGAAGCTTTTCGGTAGAGAGTCACGTCTTTGCGAAACATCTGGCTGATTTCCGCTCACCTGAGTTGGGGCTGGGGAAACACCTCTTCTTGTCGTTGTACTAATATAAGTGGGATGTGGATCCCTTTCGATCATCGAATAACAGCTGGCATGGTGTGAAGGCCGCTCTCTTTCCGTAAACATAGGAGCACTAAACCGTTTGGAAGTATGATGGCTGGTAGACGCATTACTCTCGAGAGACGAATCATTCGGTGCGTCATTTAAACGTGGAGCTCTTATCACCCTTGGGCTCTGTCGTTGGTAACAGATTTCAACTTCACGGGCAAATGGTCTAGTAATATTTTCCGACAATCCGAAATCTTGTCTTTGTTTAGTCCAATTATTGACATTAGAATCCACTTGATTCATATGATTAGCGTAGGGCTTATGCACTCTTTTATGTTGTTCTTCACCCAAATTAAACATTGATTCGGACCGAAGCAACTGACGATCATTTTGGGTATTTTCAATTTTTATGGGAATTTGATAAACTCTACCATTCTCGCGATTATTTTCCTCCTTTGCATCAATGAAAGAAGAATCATTTTGGATATCATCAGTTTCGATGCGAATCGGCACATTATGGACCTGGCCGTTTTGCAATTTCTCAGCGAATTTTAGTTGACGCGATTTTATTGATTTCTCGATTTCTTTTTCTAATTCTTTCATATGCTCATGACGTCTTCGCTTAAATTCCTCAAAGTGTTGCTTCTGTTTCATTTGAAGCGTACTCAAATCGAACATGGAAGATGAGAGTTCACGTTGCCGCTTTTGCCAACTATTCGTTTCCAGTTCGTTATGCAACCTTTTCGATAATTCATCAAACTCTTTAAGTAATTTTTCATGGTCAGAAGTAAATGAGGACGATGAAGATAATGAAGGCTGTGACGTCACTTGATCTTTAATCACATTTGTAGTTGCGCTCGTTTTCGTATTCAATCGATCGAGCAGATCTGACGTTTTGGCATTTTGCCGGAATTCTTTGCATAAATTTTGTGCTTCATTCTCTACGTTTGTCTTACGATGCTCTTGATGCTCTGTTGCCGCGTCACTCTTCATATTTTTCTCATAATCCCAATCAAGAGCAATCGAATGCGCCGAATTTTTTGTTTCTTTCGTAATTTCAGAGATATTGTTTAATTTTATATCTGACATAATTTCTATGCCGTAAGGTGGTATGGGTTCTTTCAATTTGTTTGTTGCATCCGTTGTTTGTGTTTTTGTTTTGTTTTGCTCACTTTTCGAAAAATTACTTTCATTCGATTCTCTTTTATTGTTGCTGCTATTGCTTTTACTATTATTATTACTATCTGTTTCGATACGTTTGTCATATTTAGATTCGGACGTATCGCATACAATTTTTCCATTTTCGATTCTTTTCTTAGCTTCATACGAACTTGTTTCCATTTTTGAATACGATTTAGATTCAAAATTGAGTGGTAGTGTCTCGGAATACGTAGGCTTGAGCTTAAAACCGATTTCCATATTCGAAGAATCTTTACGATACCTATCGGATGCGTTGAAATGATCGCGCTGCTGCGAATGCTTATTTGCGTTTGTTTGCGGAGTTCCTGGCATACCGCTGACATTACCGTCGACTTTATAATTCGTTTGCCTTGAGCTATTTTCAGGCAATGATGACATGATATCTGGTATTTGCTTTTGGTTTGCTTCGTTAGTATTATTCAATATTTCTAATAAATGTTTTATATTCTCCTCTTTATTTACGCTATCTGCATTGTTTCGCGAATTCTTCTCTGTTGCTTTTTTCATGTCGCCAGTAATTGCTTGATTCATCGAGTTTAAAGCTTTTACGGACGTTTCCAAACTTTTTGTAGGTACTGGCGGTGGTGGTATGGGTGGTGGTGTAGGTGTTAGACTTTTACGTAATTTTTTCATATGCGCCGCCATTTGAAGGACATCTTTTTCTGCACGTTTCTCTTCTTCCATAGCTTCAATTTCACTTTTTGTGTATTCATAATAGCCGCGTCGTTCAATGAATTTTTGGTGAGCACTAAGTAAATCGTCTGGTTGTTGTTCTACATGTTTTTCCATATAAGAACGTTGCGAAGGCGATATGCATACCAAAACTTTCGGATCGGAATTTGTAGGTATTCCTGTCCATGTCTGAGAATGCAATTTTTCTTCCGGTTTGCATGACGGTAAAGTATTTGTCCCCTCCTGTCTGGACTGTAGATGCAATTGCAAGTCTTTAATATGCGGCATTGAAGGCAACGGATAAGGCATCTTGACGTCCTTTGATGAAGCGCTTGTCTGTCTTATTGATGTGACAGCTTTAGCTTCGCCAATATTTTGGGATATTTTGGCCAACTCTTCTAGAACTGCGTGACCGTACGGTAAACTTTCTAATTTCTCTGCACACAAAATTCTTAGCTTTTCAGGGTAAGTGAAATATAAATTTGTAGCAGCATTTCCATGTTGTTTCAACGTGCACGTAGCACCGTTGACATCTGAAATTGAGGACTGCGCATCAGTAACAGATTTATTAGATTTTGTTGTGTCAGCATTGATAGTTTTGCCTGCACTGCAATTATTTTCATCTAAATGGGTATCGGAATTCCGATGAACGGGATCACTGTTCAATTTAACAATGATTGATTCACTAGCAGTTGTTAAACTAAGGGTAGGTGTAGGAGGTGAGTCTTTTGTAAGGATTGTTATATTATTATTATTATTATTATTACTATTATTGTTATTGTTATTTTGCAAAATATCGCTTGATCTTTTACCGTTTGTATTTAATGAATTTTCGCTAATTAATAATGCACGCACGTTATTCATTTCGTTTTCAAAGAGAATTTGCTGTTTCGTCTTATGATCGACACTTAAAATACTGTTTAACGTTTCGCAACCATTGGAGGATGAACTAATTAATGCGACTGAATTTTCAAAGTTTTCATTTCTCTCGGCTATTGGATTTATGGGCATGTGTTCTGAGGAAGAGAGCACCACAGTGGTTGCCACGAGATCATTACTATTCGCTGAAGCATTTTCAATGTTACGGGGAGATGACGATCGCATGATCATGTTCTCTGCTATTTGGACGATTTGTTTGTCATCAATGCAATCTGGTTGCAAATCTGATATCGTTGTTGTTGTTAGTATCGGTATTGCTGTTGGTGTTTTCTTATTAGCAGGTGTTTCTTCGCTTTGAGATTTACTGGATATATTTACTGTGTCTGTATCATGTACTGTTCGACTATTTATTTCCATATTCTCATAATCCAATAAATCGGTTATGCTACTTGAGGCAGAATTTATGAAAATCGTTTCAGCTGCTTCAGGTTTTACGGCCTGTGAGCACTCTAGAATACTACAGCTTTCATCGGCTCCCGGCGTTTCCGTAATACGCGTCTCAACTATTAACGGAGTACTTGTTGCTTGCATAAAGCTATTGTAGTTCAGCGTTTTAGTTTTCAAAGGATCTTTCAATGGTTGCAATGGAGATTTTACTTTATCGGAATAATCACTCAAGTCACTGTTCTCTTCCGTTATGCTATCCAGGTAGCGGGGATTTAAAAAATGCGGTAGGAAATGATTCTGTATAGCAAGTTTTTTCTGTTTCGATCGTTGCCTTGTATCAAGATTTTCATCGTATTGGAAGATGTGATCTGAAGTTTTAACGGCATCATCTTGAAATTCAATTTTAGCTAAATCTTCTGATTCCGATTCAACTTCTGTGACAATGGGTGATTGAACGATTGGCAGATCATTTGTTATTATATCTTCGTTTACTTCACAAATTTCTACTTGTGATCGGTTCGTGATTTCCTCCTTGCATTCATCGTCGTAAGGTTTCTCGTCATCTTCTTCAAGATCTATGTGGATATTATGAACGATAGGTTTCTTAAGTGGGCCAATTGAGTTTTGCTTAGTGTGCTCGCTTAAATTCGAAGCAATCGAATTATTTGCTTCATTTTCTCCCTCATAGAGAACACGATGCACTATAATTTTACCTTCCACTGGTTGTTTTTGTAAATTACTTTCCAATAATATGTCGTTGGTGTTAGTTATTGTTTCCCCATTCACTGGATTCGGCATATTAATATGCTCAACTTCTTTCGATTTATTATTACCCATATTTTCATTAGGATCTACGCTTTTTGCTTGACCGTATCCAATTATCGCTTCGTTACCCTTTGTATGCTCAAATGAGACTGTGCTAGACGTGCCAATAGTTGGCTTAGGCTCTTTTGATAATAAATGCACTTCATTGCCGATATGCGCAATAGTGTTACTTGCGGTTACGTCATCTCTTTCGTTCGTCTCGTCAATTGCTAAATTCACGACACTCACGCTCTCTGCACTCACCGGTAATTGGGTCGTAGCTTTCGTCGTTATTTCAACCGATTCTACCTCATTTACATTACATTTCTCCTTATCTTTCAAGTGCTGTTGAGAATTATTTTGGTTTAGTCTATTTTGACGATTGTTGTCGTTGTTGCTGTTGCTGTTGCTGTTGCTGTTATTGTTGCGATTTTTGTTTTTGTTTCGATTACGATTTCTTGATTTATGGTAATTGGGCATGATCTCATAACGTTAGAAATTTATTTATAAAAACACAAAAAATAATAAATAAATATAAGTGAATAAAAATAAAATTAAAAACGTTTCTGTTTTGTCTACCGGCAGTAATTCATACGTAGCGTAATCTTTTTTTTTTTTTTTTTTTTTTTTTTTTTTGGTAAAACCGAACTTTTATTAAACCGAATAGTAAAAGAAAGGGAAGCTACCGTCGTTTAATGCGTTTCGTTCTTATGCTTTCACTTGACTAAAAAATTATTACGCTGACATGATCATAGACCGTACGATAGAGCTCGTTGGTTAGCTAAAGCGTTCACTTTAAGTGTTATGAACTTTGAATACTTTTTATTTTTTTTATTTTTTTTTTTTATTTAATGACAAAGAGGTTCTTTTTGAGGTTTTGTTGAAATTTTATTTTAGAACTCTTTCATAAGCAAACGCACACGCTTTGGTATTTGTGAAATTAAAAAAACAAGCAACAAAAAAACGAAAAATTATTATACGCTATAAGGGTGCATTAAGTTTGTGCGGATGTGTGCAATGCCCACAGGGATTTGTCATAGACCCACTCTTTATTTTAACCTTATAAGCCTGTCCGTCCGTCTGTCCGTCTTGTTTTCTTTTCGCTCAACTTGCAGGCCGTAATTTTGGCAATAATTTGATGAAATTTCCTACAACAACCAACTCTATTGGAAAAGGTTCGGAGCGCATCGCTTCCCGTGTAACGTCTTATTTTGAAAGGTCAACATATGGACAACTCTTACGTGGTGTAAGGTATTTAATGGTAAGCCATGACCCACCATAGTGTGTTCACTTGTTTTATTTTTGTATTTATTCCAAAAAAACAAATAAAAATATTTTTCAAAAATTCTCCTACAACGCAGAGGGAGATAATAGCTTTTAAGCATTTGAAGAGTAGTGGACACTTTTATGGGCACTGAGGGAGGGTATTGCTCTTCGCTTAAAAATAAATATAAAATTAGCAAATTCTCTTATATGAGAGTTCAGTAAGAAGAATAAAGAAAAAAATAATAAATAAAAAAAATCGGAACTACTTTCGAATGATCTTTGCAGTGTGCGTTGTTTTTTTTCATTTTTTTTTTTTTCATGCTGTGTATAAAAAATTCGTTCACATAACCATCGTTGCTTTCTGTGTATATTTTAGATAATTTTTGTGTTGCGCGATCGTTGATTTTGAAACTTACGTGTTAGTATATATATTATATTATAAATAATTTTTTTTTGTTTTTTTCCTTTTTAATTTTCATTTTATAAAATTGACACATATATGATGTTTAAGTGCAAAATCACACGCACACACATACTCGCGCACATGGCGACTATAGATATTGTACGATAGCAGTTTTTATATAAAATTGTTAAACAACTGCAACCAATTATACTGTTTTTTACCCCACGTTCGTTAATATACTGAATTCATGTGAGTGTTCAACAACAATATTTGATGCGACAAATGCTGCACATATATAGAAATTTAATATATAGAGCAAATTGTATATATGTCCACGTAATGTTTGCACAAAATAGGCTTTAGTGAGACAATGGTTGCTTTGTTCACTGCTACGCACATCCAACCAACCATACATACATACATACATTTGTACATATTTTATATATTTATGCTGTGGACATGGTCGGATAAGCTAAGGTTTTTAGCTTAATTATTTTAAGTGGAAGGTGCAAAGAAAAGTTCTCACGTTCTTTTATACTTTTCTATCAACGGCAAAGATAGGGTATTATCTAGCAATATGCACAAGTCACATGCATACACATTATCTACTAATACCGTTTGAAACTCATTTAAGTGCATTGAAATTTTAAATTATGTTTACCTCGTTGGTTTATTCGCTTTCTCGCTTGTTTGTCTAACAAATTCAAAACATTGCTTAAGAAACAAGCACAAGCGCTATAGTGGGCCACAGCACATCATTGAATCCCCTAAACCACTTCGCTTAATGCAGTCATTCATATGGTGATTTTTCAAATTAAGGCGTTATATGGAAGGTGGTTGAAAAAGCGGTTCGGCCCGAACCATTTTCAATAGTGATCGTCGTTGGGCCAAAACATAGCAGTGCCCAAATATCATCCAAATATATCAACAATTGCGACCCGTAGGTTACACACGAGAAAACAAGCCGAACTGACGGACAGACAAGATTAAATCGATTCAGAAAGTGATTTTGAATTGAGCGGTATACCAAAAGGTGGATCCACCTCAAGTCCTGCGGAGTGCTGCATATTTTCGCACAAACTTAATGCATCCTTGTAGCACAAGTGGTGCAGGGTTTAAAAATTCTGCAAGACAGTTGAGAAAACTGGTGAGATGAGTTTTTTTATATTCATCAACTCACTCGAGTGTATAAATATTTCAAAGTTTTTCAATTTAAAAAAATTCTTTTTTATTGACCAAACACTCAAGGTATTTTTCCGGCACCTGCAAGCTCGGTGGCAGGTGGACAGAGTTATAGGAAAGGTAATAGAAAGTTTTCTTGTTATTTGCGGATTCATACAGTTATTGTTGCGCCAAACTTTGGATGACTAGACAAACAAAAATTTTACTCGATATCGATTATCTATTAAAAGTTTTTAATTAGTTTTGCGTTGCGTACAAAGGTTTTTTTATATAATAAATTTATCAAATATGGATAAATCAGAGAAATTTTGTATATGCAAATTTATGTATATATACATATATGTCTATGTATGTATACGTATTCGTGATCAGTTTGAATAACCGGATCGTTGTAGTCACGTTGTAGTCTTTTTGTTAAGACAAGCCTGGGCGATGCTCGCTTCCAATTAGAAAAATAGTTGGGCGTCGGAGTTACCAACTCGATGTTTGCGAGTTCACCTCGCAGTGTGGTAGACTGTGGTCGCTGAGGTCGTAGCTTTAGGGTATAGTAATAGAATATAGAAAATAGAAAGAACGCCCACCGATTGGTCGCACACTAATTAGTCTGCAGTCGCTCGTTCTCTTTCCCCACTTCTCTCCGATTCGGTAGTAAAGCACAACTTGACTGCGATTGTAGCGTAGCCGTAGTTATAATCAATGTCCGGTCGGCGTAGGCATAACAAATTTGGGTCCAGAATTCCAATTACTGCCTACCTTCCTACCGCTTCTCTTTCTAACCATCACAGTGCGATGCGTATAGGGAATATGCCCTTAGTGATTAGTCATATTAAAAACAAAAAAAAAAGAAAAGATAACCTTCTATATATCTAATCTATTTTTTCGTGATCATTAAATTGTTATGCGAGCTTCAAGTTTGGTATTTATCGTCGATGGAGAAGGTTTGCTAGATTTTTCTCCTCGTTTGTATCATTCAGAGACATACTTCAGAGAGCTCAGGATATATCTATAAAGTCTTGGATTAGGATAAAGCTCTTCGTCTCTCTGACCATAACATAAGGTTAGGAAGCTTAAAAGAGATGAAGATGAACGTTTGAAAATAATTCGACCACAGGTCAGGTCTGCAAAAATGTAGCTGGTCCCCTCGAAACTTTGCTCACAATACTCCAAGTGCTTTTATTTTGTATTTCACAGTGACTTAAAACGTAATTATGAAGACCAATTAATAGTTTAATACGAAAATCTTGATGTCTCCCCAATCAAACATTGCAACCCACGTTCCATACCGCATATTACTGTAAAATTTTAGTCACAAACACTTATCGGAGCTATTGCGAAAAGCATTCCTAATCAGGCGATTGATGCCTTCATTTCTATACATTTTCGATATCTAATTAGTTAACTATTAGCTTCTAACTGGAAATGTATTGGTATCAACGATTCGTTGTAAATCAAATGGAACTTTATTTTTATTACAATCAACATTTCAAGTTCGAAAGCCGTCTAAATAGGTCTTCGATATGTTAATTGCATCTCGATGTTAATATTTCTGTCCATTTGTAAGTTGATATCTTTTGAAATTCGCAAATTCGGCTTCTTGCTGGTTCCTAATCTACTGCGGATTTTTTTTTTCTTTGCAAAGATCAATGAGGTCTATTGGAATTAAACAAAATAATTTTATATATATTCATATACATGTCTATTTTTCAATAAGGAAGCGTAGCAAGCGTAGGGTTCACCATTAAATTAATTCAGAAAGTCTAGAACGAAGTGTAAGTAAAAGAGCTGCTGAGTTAATGCAGTAGAAGCAACTAATAGGTGAAATAGTAGGCTCATCGGTTAAGCGAATCAAAGAAGCAAATAGTGAAGTGTAAGACAAAAAACTGGCGAATTAACGGTGACCATACACATATATATATCGATATGTGAATGTGTGTGGATATATATGTATGTGTGCTTTAAAGTTAAATTTACAGACAAAGTATGCAAAAACATACATTTTGGCTTTGTTGTGGGCATGGTAGACCTGCCGCTGGTGATAACTGCCAACAATGAAGCCTGGGGCGCTGTTGACGAGTTCATAAGGAAAGCGCTTGGAGAACTACGGCGAGTAGAAAGGTAGCGAGTAGAGAGAAGCGTGAGTGTAGGCCGACAACGTATTCCACTAAGTTCCCACCTTATCAAGCGCACTGATTGCAATTAGCCTCCGCGAAGTAATACCCGACCGCGCTCCCGCAGAGGAGAGAGATCGAAGTAATGCCTGTTTGAAGATAGCTTTGGCAGTTAGGCGCCATGGATGGCGAATCGTGCATGTTGCTCGTGCGGGTCAACAGAGTGTTTGGAAGATTTCTACGTCCAGCTCCCATAGTGAAAGAAAAACCATTTTGTTTTTTCGGCTTTTTTTAAAATTTTTTTCCGAAAAGAATTAGAAAAGTGAAGCTTTGTTGTTTTTCTTTACATATTTTCTTTTTTAAATGCTATGCAATTTTAAAAATGATATAAACATTTTTGAAAAAGAAGCAAAAAGCCGTAACTTCACCACACACCTAATAGCGCATAACTTTGAAATGACGCTGACGTAAATTCTTTATTCTAGATAAAGTAGTGCTGTCAGAATTGTTGTAAATGATAAACATGTGTTTGCTCTGTTTCACCATAATGCGTAAGCGCAGACTACGCTGTAGAATAGTTTTTCGTCGTATACGTATGTGTATGTCTGGTTTTTCTAATTCCGCCACTTTTGCTTAAGTTAAAATGGGGGGAAAAAAAACGTATAGATCC